TTGAAATAAAATTACAAAAAATTTTATTTAAAAACAAAGCTAGCCATGAAAATTTACGATTACATATTTTTCTGTTGGCTATTTTTTCAGAGTTAACAGTTAATAATAGTTGCAGGTGTCAACAGATAGTTGTGATTTCTAACTTTTGAGCAATTTTTTTTAATAGTAAAATATACATTCTCTTTTTTATTAGTGGTACACAGCGTTATGAAAAATTTAGAAAGGGTACACAAGTCATAAGTTTGGGAAACACTGTATTAGAACATAGATTATTTGAAAATATTAAATATTATAAAATAATAATAAATATTTTTTAATGGGCCAAGAATATTAGTATTTGACTTTCAATTGCTTGTACTTGGTAGGAAATATTACCTAGCGCCAAAGTAGAAATATTCCTTTACTAGCATTTACCTGTGCAGAAAATTTCAGTTACTCTTATCCGCATTATAATGTAATGAATTATTCAAATTCACACAGTAACTAATTTTCTATTTGCATTTGAAAGCGAATATTTGTGTTTTCTTTAAAATTTTAAAATGTACGTACAAACAGAGAAAACTTTCCTAAATTTATTAATTAAATTCCAACTTTTACTATTTAAACGTACATTAATCGTTACTAGCATGTAAGAATATCGATATGAGTTATTAGGAACTTTTTGTACTTATGTATTAATGCCGTCAAATCATATCGAAAACTTAGGAATTTGAATATAAAAATATATCACTTTAAAATTGTTTTCAATGGTAATGTTTGTCAGTCAATTTTATTAATGTATTAGATCTTCATGTCATGATTTATTTNTAATACATTTGCAGCAAAACTGGATATGAAGACAAAATTGCTGGACAGGAACACTTTAATTGTCCACTAATCTTCAGATTTCCTGCTATGTTTTAAAAAACTTTATTTGTGAAAACCTTCAGCGTGGCGGACAGCTGGTCACCTTAGGTGGCTAGTTTATGTAATAAACCCTTTTTATCTCGAAATATCTCTTGGTCCAAAGCAGAGTCTGTCAAAAAAAAGAAAAATGTTATTAATGCAATAATTAGCATTTAATACAATCTCGTGATAAGTAAACTACGTATTTACTTGACGTATATCAAATTATGTTTATAAATTGAAGCCTCTATTTATATTTTGATTTACCCGTTTAAGTTTGTCACGCTTAAGTTGTCTGACGTCCGATTCAAATCGGTTTCCTTCAATTCTATTGTATATCTTATCAAAATCATATCAAGCATTTATTCGGTTTACGTTCATTTTAATTACTTTATTAATTAACCAGTTCATAAAGCGGATCATAAGTCTATATTCAAATTTTTATCTAAACTAGTCTTATCTCTTAAAAACGCAATAAATTACAAATCTTCCTTATCACCACGTGGGAAAAGCTTCAGTTTTTCTGAAGGCACGAGTTTTTCGAACAATGCTTGCGAACTTTCTGTTTAACGACATTCTTTTAACCATCCGCTATTTCCTAAGATTCTTTGTTTGTCAATCGGCAATAATTGTATTTGCGCTAAAGAACTTGTTTTTTCTCTTTTAAGTTGTTCGGCATTAGAAGGCCGTTGTCGGAACAGGTCTGTATTTCAGGGACAGAATTTCTTCAAAGTTGCTCTTTTTTTCTTTATCATCAAACGGAAGTTGATTTTTCGCTAAAGAAATTTATTTAATAAATTGTCGGATAATTAAATAAAAATGTGAGAGGAAATAGCAATTTAGCTTAAGCAAATGTGAAATATTTAATGCATCACACACTTTTTGAAGATATCTGAGAATGATTTTTTAAAAAAAAAAATATTATCCATCCAATGGCTTGAATTATTTGCGTTATTTTTAATTGATGATCCTAATCCTAAATTAATGCAATATACATTTTTAATGAAGAAATTTTAATTAAAGTAAGTGAAAAAATATCAGGATAAGCATTCGAAAACGAATCAACATTTTCAAGAATCTAGTCCACTGAAATATATTTGACCATCATCATCATGTCTCTGTGTTTATACTTAAAATTGTAATGTAATATAATTTAGCCACATAATCTTAGCGAATTGCATTAAGCTAGATGTTTTTGTTTCACTAAAAGCTAAAGAATTTAAAGAAAAAACTTATGCGAAATGAAAGGAACAAATCTTATACCGATAAACAAAAATTGGGCAACTTGAAAGTTAAACAATAAAGTAGCCAGAAAATGAAACAACATAGTAACCAGAAACGGGGTTTCAGCAAAATTGTGCAAGTGAAATTTGTCGCCAAACGAAGAGGCCCCCATTTCAACGCTGGAACCATGGTAATTTATAATAGCATATGAATGTAAATTACACCAAAAAATAATAGTTGTATTCTTAATAGTTGTGTTAAACTTATTTTAATCTATGTTTAAACTTATCTTAAAATGTAGTGTAATAAGGTAATATAAAATTAGGTTATAATAAAGAAACAACTCTTAATTTTAAGTTTTTAAATTAAAAAAAAAAAAAATATCAACGTTTTAATGCATCAAGTGTTACACAACGAAAATTAAATTTTAAAAAAAAATTTGTAACATGAAAAAATAAACCTTAGAAAAATATACCTTCACTTTTTAATGAAATTTTGTAATATTAAAAAATGTTAGAAAAATATACTTTCACTTATAAATAAAGATTATCTGGAAGAAATTCATGTGATTTTTCATTATTTTTAAGCCTTAAATTGTACTAATCTTTCGAATTCAACGAGGATTTTTTTATTTTATTTCCCCAAGATCCTCGTTAAATACGGGTCCTAGTACTTAAGTTCTGAAACCTAAAATAATTTTTTCTTTTTTTTTTTCCTGTCATCGACTGTAAAATGTTAACTTTAAAAATGGAAGAAATGTTCGGTTTTTAGTTCAGAGATACAAAAATAAATAAAATATTTACAATATCTCAGGTCTAGAATATTCGCCTTATTGTTGCCACTAGGACAACGGAGTAATTTCAGAAAAATCTGCTGAAACAAATTTTTTTAAATTTTTCACTTCTTCTAATAAATCTGTTGTTGAAATTATTCGAAAGTTAAAAATCTAACGGAAAAAACAAATATCACCAATTTCAATAAAAGTGCGTCTATAGCCAGATTAAAATCTAGATTAATTTTGCAATTTCTTCTTCAACCAATTTCTCAAGAAATTAAAACTACGTCTTCCTCGTTCAACCGATCATCGGCTTGATGAAAATGAAATCAGCGAACGTCATTCCGTTTTCTTAATACTCCTTGTTCACGTCAGAGACGTAATTTGCCGAAACCTCTCATGTAGAAAGAATGTTGCGTCACACTTAGAACAAATACAGACGTATTTATTTACGAATGCCATTATTGTAGTAAACCATATGATTATTTACGGCTATTTATAAAGGAAATTATGAATGAAAAGAAGGAAAAAAAAACAAAAACAATATGGAACCTTAAAATAATAAAATCATTGTTATTGTGAAGATTGGAGGATCATGATTTAAATCAACTCATTTTTTTTAAAATAATTGATTTGAGGCGTAAATATTTTTACACAGTATAATTTATAAATAAATAAATTTAAGCAAAATTAATTTTAAAGTTGAAAAAATCCTGATTTTTTGTTTTGTTTTGTTTGTATTGAAGGTTTTATTCAACTAACTAATGAGAGGGCAATGCATGTAAAGTATTATTTTATGTCCAAAAATAGTCAAATAACTAAAACAAATGATTGCTGTATGTAAAATAGTTTGCTATTTAATAAACATATTTCAATTTTACTTATTTTGATTAATGTTTATGTAAATACAAGGTTTTTTTTTAATTTTTTTTTACTGAATATGCAGTTTGTGCTTGTAAATAATGAAAGACTTACTTCGCCAAGAATAATTTACACAAATTTTTTTTCCTGATTTAAATTCTTCATTTGATTAGTATTTCTAATAATTATTTAACAATTTTCAGTTAGATATATTAAATATTTTAGTTAAAATATTGTTATTAAATAACCTTTAGCATTAATACATTTTATCAGAGCTCCACTAAATGTGAAGAATTCACCCTCTCCATTAAAAATGTGAAAAAAATTAAAAAGGTCTGATTTAAAAAATCGTGATTTTTCCCTCACCTGTGGTTATTGTGAGGATTGAATGAATGCTATTCAGAATATATTCCCATGCAAAAGCCTTAAATCAACCCATTTAATTAAGTTTATTTCCTATCCGTATTCCAGCGCTTAAAGTAAGCTAAGTTTTACTGCTTTGTTAACTTGCTTTATTTGTTCAGATAAATATTATGAGGATTTTAGCACACTTGCTGGGAAACGTAATTCGAAATTAAAGAAAAATGTGCAAAGTTAAGTTTTAATCACTCAAAATTTTAATGTTTTCCGCAATCATTTAATTTTTATTATATTAAAGATAAGTTGTTATTTAGTTTTTTTCTCCTTAGTTTTATTTTAGTAGTTTTTAAAACTGGCTCTAATGAAGTAAATTAAGCTAATGTACTACTTTTTTTAAAAAAAAAAAAACTTATCTTATGTAGGATAAGTTAAAAACGTCCTTAAAAAATAAATAACAAAAGTCGGAAAATGAAAGAAAAAAACGTAACTACAATGCAATGAAAATGCTTCTTATGAGAATTGTCGTCTTAAAATAAGCTCATAATTCACATCATCTCTAGCAATGTTTTTTCTTTAGTTTGATTCCTTGTTCCACTTTATTTTTTGCGTCGGACATACATTGTTTTCAGTAGATCGATTTTGACATCTTAAATGTGCTTTTATAACCTTGGGTTTGAAGCAGCATAACCGCATTCTCTTTCGTGAGAACATCGCATTGTAAAAAAAATAATTGATAATTCCGTAAAAGAAATCTATCAAATATTTGTTCTTTGCAGATCTCATATTTAACTAGTTGCTATTACTCATCATCTGTACCAGTAATACAATATCTTTTATATGTATTAATGCGATATTTTTAAAAGTTATGTATAATTTTTTTCCTTTTCCTTTTTAGGCCGCTAAAAAGGCTGATAATCAGGCTGCAGAACTTTCTAATATTCTGCGTCCTAAAGACAAAGACAACGACCTAAGTCCCAGAAAGAATCTGTCTCGTAGCAGGGTCCACCAGTTTGCCAGAAATGCATTCGGTTCAGCAAAAGCAAGCGTTTCTAAAACAAACAATACCGAATCTAATGAAGGAAAAAATCCTGATATCAACAAGGCTTGCCCTGATCAGCTTACCCTTCTGCAGCTATTGGCTCTTGTAAGTATTATTTCTAATTGTAACTTGTAAGGATTTTTATTTTTTGTAATATCACAACATTTATGTACACAAGCTTTTTTTCCTATACGTCTATGTAGAACATTACATAATGAATGTAAGAATTTTCTAAAAATGTTGCTCTTAATTCGTTTTAAAACTGTTAAAATGAGAGAAAATAATGTTTTTGCTCAGAACATTAGAAAACTCATTCAAAAAGCTAAAAAATTTTTTTATTAGCTCTATTTTTCAAATAGAAATTCAACAGGCAAACATTTATGTGTCATGTTATCAGAAAAAAGCACATTATTTGACAGAATTGAAATTCAAAACATAGTAGAAAAGTGCATACTGTTAGACAAAGTTGAAATTCAAAACATCTTATTTTTAGAAAAATGTACAGTGCACAAAAGAAAGGGGGGGGGGGAAACGAACCACCTTGAATAGTTTTAGTTTGAACCTTATAATGTTAATTTTATTTTTGCGTATTTCGCCGTATCTCGTAAACTTTTTAAACGAATTTTTAAAAAAATTACACACAATTATAAAATTTGTTCATCTAAGGATAATTGTATGCAAAAAATAAATTTTAGTTAATATTTATTTTTTTATTTTATTTAATGATAAGGCAAAAAATTTTGAATTGTAAGGAATCTTCGAATGCTTCAAAGTTAGGCTTAAAGTTTTCATTTTCAATAAAGAAGCTGTTCTCAATGGAATTTATTATTCTATAATAAAATTCTAAAGAGTTTACAATGCTCAAATTATAATATTGCAAAAAATAATAATAATAATATGTATTATTTTTTTTAAAGTGAAATAATACTAAAACCTGTTTTTTTTTTTTAAAACAGAAAATGCATATAATTTTTAAAAACTAAGTATATTTTGGTATAAAAAAAGATGTTCTCATTCTGAATCTGTTTCTTTTGATAGAACGCACTTGATCTTACGGCTCCAGCTAGCAATGTATTGTTGAAAAACAGACTCAACAATTGGGTACAGCTGTCTGGACACGAAGGTATAAATTATTAACTGTTGGTTTAAAATAACCTATTTAAATTGAAGTATTTTATGAACGAAGGACATTATAAAAATGTGCGAAATATAAGGTGTATAATTGTTCAAATGCATATGTAGAGCTTAATTTTTTTTCCTACTTGTTACATCAACTTATTTTTAATGAACAAAACGACTTATTGCTAATGCATTTAAAAACTAACGTTCACGAAAATGTCCGTTAAAACCCTATTCTGCTTATTATCAAACCTTAAATTTTATTTAAATTGTGCTATTAAAATAATTATAGTCTAGATATAGGAATTTGAACAGTCATGGTGTAGTGGTGATTTATTTTTACAAATTGCTTGAAATGTATTTAGAGTGGCATAAAAGGGTTTCAGGACTGTTTAGTACAACTCCAAAGAACAACAAAGAACTCTCCTCGCCACGAAGTCTTAAGATAGCCTGCTGCTATGGAAACAAGAAATGAAGCATTTCAAAGAGGGGAGCTTCTTTCTGATCTGATTCCCTTTCTCTCGCTGAAACCTGTCTTAAGTAATGACCAAACACCTCTACTTAAAATAGTTAAGCTTCGTAACCATAGTCATAGCCACTGCTCCCGAGGAATGGTTTAGGGGAGTTCTTCATATTGAAAAACTATAGAACTTTTTCTTTTTTCTAGTTTATTTTCACAAGAATCGATTTATGAACAGTTATTTTCCACTTATGAAAATACAGATATGAAATGATTTCACGTTATAAAGTTACAACTTATAAAGTTTACCCTTTAAACTCGCACATCATTTACATCACTCTATATTTTCGACTCTTGTGCCATTTAGTTTCAGAGCTAATGAATGTTTTCAGGGTTAAATTTGATAAATAGCAATCGTTGGAGAGTATTATAGTTGTATTTTCTTTGTAGGATCATTTGCTCCTGCTGGGCCTGGTACAATCTGGAAGAAAAGTTCAAAGGACCGAATTGAAATCATAGCTTATGAAAAATTGATGAAAGATACCCTACAATCTATGGTGCCACAGTTTTATAAAGATGTAGAATATAACAATGAATGTATCCTTTCAATTAATAGTATGCATTATTTTTCAAACTATGTATTTACTGTCTCTCATATAAAAATATATGTTTATCTTTTGAAAAAATGACAAATCTTTATCCTTAACTTCAGTACTCAGATTTTATTGAAATGCAAGATCTTCTGTATAATTTTAAAAACCCTGCAGTTATGGATATCAAAATGGGAACTAGGTAAGTTAAAAATCAAATCTACTTTTATTTCAATTTGTTCCTTGCAACCTTTTTGTATTTTTCTATTTGTGTTCAGCGATTAATATACAGGGTGTTTCGGTATTATCCCCTTAATATAGATTTTTATAGTCCTTGTCAAAAATGAAATGGAAAAAAAAATTGCTCACATAGACCACAAATTAATATTTAAGAAAGGAAAAAACCTCTGTATTGATTAAAAGATGAGAGTCAAACAACACGAAACCATCAAACTGGTTTTATTGTTTTTCTCATCGCCTTCCTCGCTAGTGATTTGACGGATTTCAATAACGTTTTATTTATTTCTTGCTAATATATGTATTTATGCCCTTTAATATGCATACTTTTTTTTGATAAGTATTCTCGAAACATAAATTCAGAAATTGAGAGATCGTTATTACAAAACACTTTATATTTATGCTAGCTAGCACCAATGGATTTTGTTTCAAACTCAACTTATTGAACTTTTATTACGCTAACAGTTATAAAATTTATTGATAAGATCTACTAATTTGTAAATTTTTGTATTGCAATTTTTATTTTCAAATGAAAGTTTTTGAATTTATAATCCTTATGAGGAGGCAACATTTAATAAATTGTTATTAGCGAATTCACCAAAATATTAAAAAAAGAGCATTTTTCTATTTCTTTAAAATGTGGAACTTCTATTTTCTAATTCTCTTATTCTATTTTAGGACTTTTTTAGAGTCTGAAGTTGAGAACAGTAAAGCTAGGACTGATTTGTATGAAAAAATGATAAAAGTTGATCCAAATGCACCCACACCAGAAGAGCAAGAAGCTAAGGCTATTACTAAATTGAGATATATGCAGGTTAGAAAAGTCTTAAAAATTTGTGCATAAATAAAACTTTATAGTAGAATTACATAAGATCCAACTTGAAGCTATTTTACTTTTTTGTTAAAATTTAAGAAAAAATAAATATTTTCATTTTAGCTTTCAAAGATTTGGCAGTTTAGAAATTTGTGTTATTCATAAAATGTATCGTATTTCATTTAAAGTTTAAAAAAAAAAATCAAACTGAGAAAAATAATGATTATATTAATGGCCATATGAAGTTATTATTACTTTTTTTAGAGTTGTGTTGCTAATTTAAATTAATTTTAAATATCAGTTAAAAATATTGAACTAATAATTGTGAATTTAATTATATTCTCCGTTTCTGATAAGTTGCACCATTTTCTCAATTTTATTCATTTAGCAACCATAAGTCTTCCCTCTTAATATAAAACAGCACATTGTTTAAAATCCATTAGAATATATTAATTATGTTTAAGGTTCATAAACTTTGAATTGGAATTAAATATTATAGTTCTAGTAATTAGTTTAAATAAAACTAGTCTGAATAAATTAATAAAAACCGAACATGTATTTGTTTAATCAAGTTGTTAGGGAATAATATTTTCTTCACTGTGACTACATGATTTAAACTTAATCATTTTTGAATTATTATCATTGATTTTGTTACTTCAAAGTATTTTTGTTTATCTTCTTTAAATCTGAAAACAATCTTTTATTTCAGTTTCGAGAAAATTTAAGCTCTTCAGCTGAACTGGGTTTTAGAATAGAGGGCTTCAAGGTAAGAATACATTTTTTTTAAAAAACAGAAAAATTTATATAGAATCTTAGTTATTATAGAATTCTAGATTTTTATTTTTATCGATGAAAATAAATTATGGATTTTCTTGAATTTTCATCAAACTCTGTACGATTTAAGGGACAGTAATTTAACCAGCTACCTTCAGATCAGAATTCTGTTTTCTTATTGAATAACTAATTAATATTACAGAAAATCTTTTTCATTTTATGTAGTGAAATGTGGTATATTTGGACTCTAGTCATCACAATATTAATTTTAAGATTATAAGTATTTTTAAAATACCTTTATAGCTCAAGTTTTAAAATACTCTGAGCTTAAAAGTTTTGGAACTAAGTTCAGTAAAATGCATTTCAAAAAATGAAATAAAGTTGGAAAAAAAAAAAGAAAATTCAAAGATATTAATCAGTTACTTTATGTATTAAGTTTATATAATTCTACTTAGTTTGCAACAGAGGAAGTAGAAACTATTCTATGACTGTCCCTTTTTTATTTTATTTTATAGCCGTCGTTGAACAGCCGATCCAATTTTTGGGTTTATGACTACTAATGTTCAATTCCTTAGCCTTGTAATTTCGAACCCAATCCAGCAGTCAAAGGAACTCCTGGATCAAGTATTTGGAGAAATTTGCCTTCATTGAGGACTTTTTGATGGAACTAACCCGCATTCGCGTTACATGGAGAGGAAGACCACGAGTACCTCCCACGGTTAGCCTGACAGCAAAGGCTAATCCATGATATCTACCACTTAGGATATTTCACGTCAGCACTGTGGTCGGTGCAAGCCGAATGCAGATTTGTATCGACCAGTCATCGCCGGGATTCGAACCTGGCTGACCTCGTTGGAAGGCAAATGCTCTAGCCCCTGAGCCATCGCCTCTCTATGAATGTCCCTTAAGTCAAAACGAATATATTGAATTGTTTTAACTCATCTAAGAAAACCATTAGTTTTAGTATAAGTATATAGGAATAGTTTTTTTCTGCACACTGAAATATTGTAACACATTTCAATATTGTTTCTAGGTTCATGGACAGGAGCCAACAAAAGATCTTAAACTGTTACGCTCCAGAGATGAAATCTGCAAGACAATGAGGCAGTTCTTAAATGGAAGTGAAAAGATAAGATTACAAGTGATTGCTAGGCTACAAAACTTACGAGCAAAGCTAGAGAAGTCACCATTCTTCAGGCAACATGAAGTTAGTATGACAGTATTTTTACAATTATAGTTGAACAAAAGATTTTAATTTTTGCAAATTGAGCACCACATGGTACAATTATTTTATGTATATCTTTTAAGTAAGGTTTAATTACTCGATGAACTCTGCATTAGCTTAGTAATAATAATAAAAAACTTGGTTTGCACAAAATAAATTACAAAATTTTTGTTATAAATTTCATTTTTAATTGTGCTGATTACACAAAAAATGTGCAATGAATAAAGCCAATTACAGTAAAAAAAAATTAACATTAAAATTTTATAAGAAATAAACCCATGCTAAAAATTTTTATAATATTTGGCTGTGAGTAATGTAGAAAGCTACACTTTCTCTGAGAGTAAAATTTTTACATCATTCTTCTTTAGTATTATTTCTGGTTAGTTACTTCGCAAGTTTCTGGAATTTCCTTCAGATAACGGTGCAGTATACTTGACCATCTGCATGCCTACTAGCAATCAGGGATCTATTTAACCAAAAGCGCTTTCCTGAACAATATTTAAAAAAATTTTGACATTGTATTGCTCAAAATCCTTTATGTGTAAATGATGTCTAATTATTGTTTTGAATATTTCAGGTTATAGGCAGCAGTATTCTTATAATTCATGATGGTAAAAGAGCAGGAGCATGGATGATAGATTTTGCCAAAACAAATTCATTACCAGAAGGTGTAAGCATCACTCATAGATCAAAGTGGACTTACGGAAATCAAGAAGATGGATATTTAACGGGATTAGACAATCTGATTACTGTAAGTACTTTTTCTTCCATCTTTTTTTTTTATTATTAATTCCATCAAATATTGTATAAAATGCTCCTAATGGTTGTAGGAAATGATTATCAAAAATATGTGTCATGTATTACATAATTATGAGGAGATTGTTTCCATTAAAAGCAATATAGTAATGACTGTACTTTAATTTGGAGCATCAAACTTCAGCATAATGTAAGAAAAATATATTTTTTTAAAATATTAAACTGCCTTATAATAAAATACATACTCAGATGACTTTTTGTGTAAATATATTTATAAAAATTAAAAAATTATAGTATTTAGAAATTTTGTTAGTCAATTTTTTCTTCTTCCTGGATCATCCTGAAACTTGACTAAACTTTTTACCAAGTATATATATATCTGGCTAGAGATACTTGGTTAGTTTGCTCTTTGGTAGAATATAAAATTTTTTATATCAAAACTAATTTATCTTTTTCATAAATATAAATTTTCAAATTACAGTAAAGAACCCGTTATCCGGAAATCAGAAAACCGGAAAACCAAAAAACCGGAACGAAATTCGATAAATTTTCCCGAAATTTTTAAAAAAAAAAAACTTTTTTTTTCCTCATAAGGATTTAGGATTTTTTATTCTTTTTTGAAAGATGTTTACCTTACCATCATTTTGGAAATAATCATTAGAGTATTACTCCATCGTTTTTTCTTCTTTTTAAGATTATTTCCAAAAAATTTTTTTTTTAGTTGGGTTTAACAATAAAAAAAACGGCTTTTTGTAGCGATTCAGAAAACCGGAAAAATCAGTTATCCGGAATAGCGATGGTCCCGATCGTTCCGGATAATCAGTTCCCTACTGTATTAATTGTATGTAAAAAATAACATATAACAATAGCCTAAAGAAATTCATAAAACTTCCGGTGTATTCCTCGGCTTACGAGGCGATGTGTTAACAAGCTCAATAATTCTAGGAAGTTTTATTATTGTAATTTGTGATTAAATTTACGTGTAATTTTACTATTCATAAGAGTTCCCTGCAATTTACAGATTCTAACAGGTTGTGAACCTAAAGCAAATTTAAGAAAATTAATATGAAAACATAAATAAAGAGTAAGGTTTGAGTGTTATCCCTTAGTGGGCTATATTTCTGTTAAATATCAGTGTTTGATACTTTTTGGGTTGCATCATAGCATGCTTGCGAAGTCTTCCGAATTCATTTGTTGAAATTTAAATTGAAAGAATGTGTTATATTGTAAACACTATTCGTATATTCAGATTGGATGGTGCGCTGTTTCAAGTTCAGGCTTAAAAATTAATCAGGAGTAACCCGGAAGTCTTATGATGAATTTTTACCCCTAGCGCCATTTGTGTTTAGCTTAGCTTTACATGGTCATCCATGCATAATTATTTCAATAAACACTTTAACTCACATTCTTTCTTTCTTTCTTTTTTTTTTTTTAATTTTCCTTTTTATCCATCAGATTCTTTTAAGAAAAACTGCTTTTAATTTCGTGCTCATATGTTAAATGTCAAAGTTTGTATCAAATGAAAAGAAATTTACTGTTTTCAGGATTTTAACGAGGTGTTGTTTGCTAAATGAAGTTGAATTAAGAAAAAATATTTTCTTAAACTTATCATTTACTAAATTTTTTTTCTAACTTTGGCAACTAAATAAAAAAAAAATTTATTTAGAAAAATCAATGAAAAATAAATTTTATGTCAAGATGCATGCAAAACAACTTAAAAAAACACTATTTTTTATATGAACATCCAAAACAAATGTTTCAAACTCTTCCAAGTGACCGTTATGTTTTCCACCACAAATATCACAAAGTTGTTGACCATGCAATTTTTTTAGTGTTACTATGCAATGTCTTACAAAATGAAAAAATTGGTGAAGTCTGCATACTACATAATTTTGAAGACTTAGCTTATCAAATTAATCAATTCCCACTTTTCATAGATGTTTGTAACACAAATTTCCATTTTTACCATACAGTTAACATGTGTAAAGATACCAAGTATTACACTTGAAAAATTTTATTGCTATCTTTTAGATATGATTAGTTTCAATATTTGTAGCAAGTCTTAACATATTTTACCAGGAGAAAATTATGTGCTTATGTAAGAAAAAAATCTTTTTTAAATTGAATTTTTCTTATTTCAGGTATTGAAAGAAAGTGGTAAAATAAAAAACAAGAGTTCATCCTAGTTTCAACTTTCACCTTCAATGAAATTCGTGTCCTTTCACTATCTGTGACCTCATTTTTCTTTTTTTTTGTGAATTTCATTTTAGTCATTTTAATTGTGAGCAAGACAGGTTGATTGTTTTCTTGATCACCTAAAAAATCTTTGTGCAAGTTCCTATAAATCTTGTTTCTCAGCAACACATCCCAATGCAAATTGCCTTTGTTCAAAACTTTTTCTTCAACTAATTAGAGTTTGTGACTAATGACAAGTATTAGAAATCAAGTCATGATCTTAAAATGTTTGTTATTCATTCATAATTCAGTTGTATTAGAAATTGTACTTTTTATCAGTGCCAAAATGTAGTTATGTATATATATGTATGTAATGTGAAACGCAATTTCTGTATGTAAGCAAAATTGTACATTGTATAAAAATTATGTATAATTCAGTATTAATTTTTTTTAAAGACTAATACTTTGTATTTAAACTGCTGTATATATCAGCTGATAGAGTTCTTAATATTTCGGCTACATGATTGAGAAATTGTTCATAAACATTGCTGTTTTGTAAATATGATTTAGTTTATTTATTATGATTAGTTAATAAAACTATAATATTATGTATTGCATTATTACTAATATCTTGTTCACATTCTTTTTTTCAATCTGTAAGTTGAAAAAAAGTAAGTTGTTCACATAATTACTCTTAATTTTTAAGAATCAACTACACACTTTTTGAAAATTTAAATCTATTTTCCTTATAATTTTTAATTTACAGAAAGCAAATATACAATATTTTGAGCATGTTAATAACAAAAACTTAAAATATGAAACTATAAACTAAATACAAGTAGTAACTAGTAATCGTACCCCATATGTTCTAACAAAAAAAAAAGTCTTGGAAAAAAAAAATTATAGTAATGCCAATTTTATATTAAAAAAATATTTTAGCATAAGTATTAGGGGGACCAGAAAGTAATTTCGTTTCAGTGCATTAAATATTCATTAGTCTTAAGAACCAATAAATTTTTTTTTTGCTTCATTCTCAATCTGGCATTGAGGTCCGGCTAACGAGGGTGAATACATTATTGTTTAAACATGGTGCATAGCGTTTTTAAAAAGTGCCTATTTTCGATTTAAAAAGTCCTTAAAGGTGCTTTTTTCATTCAGTGTTTTTAAAAAGTGCTTAATTTTCCATTCCTGAAAAGATTTTTTTCTTTACCATGTCGATTTTCGCCATGTATTATGCAAAAGTGTGCTTTTCGCATTGTCCTATTAAACATTTTTAGAATTCATTCAACCACAATCTTTTTCGGTGTACCGTCGGTCGGTAGCGTATGAAAGTGCTAATCGTTTAACATGTTTGATGAAATACCTGCAAGTCCACACGTGCGCCTACTGAGCTGGGTTGGGTGAGATTCTTGCCCTCTCATGTGCAACTCTGCAAGATATTCTCAATTTTGGGCTTAATTTTCCAGCCTCCGATATCGAACCGAAAAGTCTTTTGATCATTTTATAATCGCTAATATAATCAAAGAAGGAATTATTTTGTTACTGTATGTAGTGCTTAAAAATACTTTTTGAAAGCTTAAAGGGTGCTTATTTTTTGTTGAAAGATTTGGCTACGCACCCTGTTAAAAATAAAATCTTAACAACAAATATCAAATGCACCAAAACATTACTTTCTGGTCCCCCTAATATAAGCTTAAAAAACGTTTAGTGGTTAAATCTTCATCACCCATCATCTAGTTAGAAAAGCTAGATTATTATGTTAAAAAATTAATATTTCCATGAATAAAATTGATCTATTTATAGCCTGAACATGAGTGAAAAACCCTGAAAATTGTGTGCAAAAACAAGATAGATTTATATGCTATTTATATTTAATATTTTTTATAACTAAATTACCTATCGATGAAGAATATTATACTTTTATAGTAACGAATTACAGAAAAAACTTCGTTCTGACAAGAATCGCGATGTTGGATTTTGAGAAAGCGAAAATACAAATCTGCGACAATGGATTTTTAATTCTAGTAATACCGAATTGCGATATAGATTTCAAAAACGTGTAAATACAAATTGCGATAATAGATTTAAATTACGTGAATACGAATATCGCGATGTACTATTTTCTAAATCGCGGGAATACGATTCACAATGTGAACTTACTTAATACGAAAATCTATGGTTTATATTTAAAATCGCGGGAATATGAATCATAATATTGTATATATATTTAGCGATATATTACAATAGTTTCAAATATTAAAAACTAGTCACAAATTAAGTTTTTTAAACATAGCAGGAAATCTGAAGATTAGTGTTAAGCAATTAAAGTGTTCCTGTCCTGCAATTTTGTCTTCATATCCAGTTCTGCTGCAGACAAAAGTTAAACTTTTCTCCACTTTGATAAATGTAAACTAATGCGAACCTTACAATTAAATTATTAATTCCTTCGTATATTATTGGTTTAAGTTGTCGAAAATTAATATTTCAATTGTAAGGTTCGCATTAGCATACATTAGCTCTTTGAAGCAAAAATAGATGATGAGTCGGCCTGTCTAATTCAGGGGTTCTAGTTTTTTGAATATGGCTCTTTGAAGACGATTGTTACGTCAAGCGCTCAGGTATTATAATTTTGATCTAGTTGCGCTTGTATAATTTCGATCTAGTTGCGCTTTCTACGCATTTTGTCAACATCGTTTGGTTTGTTGTTTAACATCGTTTGGTTTGTTATTTCTAAGTTAACTTTCAAAAAATTGGCTGGCAACAGCCAATTTTTTGAAAGCAACGAAAAAGCATAGATTTTCTTACAAAATGACTTATAACTAAAAAACTAATCCAAATTTTTGAAAAAGAAAAAAAAATACTTCTTCATTATGTCAAAACTCAAAACACAATTATGTGCCGAGTTTCGTGCCTGAGCGGTGGGGCGATATATTGTGATTACAGACAAACAGCCGCGTTTATTATTATGTATAGATGATGCAAATCCGATAAACTAAAAAATATAATAAATAAAAATGGTGGAAGAGTCACGTATATGAAAGCGTTTAGTTAACGTGATTTAGTAAAGGTCTCAAAATTTAAATTTCAGGTTGCAGAGAAAATTTCGTCGGATTCTAAGTTTTGATACGACGAAATCTGCGATTCAATAGTCTTGAGACACGCGGAATTCCACGAAAAAAATCACATGCCTTGCTCTTAGTTTCTAGATCAGAAGGGATAATACAAAAATAAAAACCCTGAGTATAGGGATAAATCTTTTATACAACCCCCGGCCTGAACTAAAAATTTGTTTTAAGGAGAAAAAAATTATACATTTATGCTTGGCGGACCAACCTGTGTAGGGGTCGGGGATCTGGCCTTTCATTAGAAAGGTACTGGATTCAAATCCGGGGCGAGGCATAGACGTTTTTCATTCATCTCTGTCCTTACTGTGGGAGCAACGTCGACCCACCTAATATGGTGCACCTGAAAGAGTGGCCAACAAATCTGCCCTTCAGATGCCTGTGTTAACTAAAGGTCCTTTCCAGGGTTGACATTGGGAAAAAAAAGCTTGAACATAGTTAATCAAAAATGTTAAATCAATACTATGCTAATTTGATTGTCAACATCTCACTACAGGTACATAAACATGCTATTAGCAACAGACTGATTCATTTTTAATTATGATCTATAGACAATAGTGGTTCTGTCAAAATTTGGTTTAGAAAAGGAATACAACTTAACACCATAGTCTAGTGTAAAGTAATTCCATCTTAATAATCTAAAAACTTACACACAAAAACTTTCTCCTTAAATCTGGAAAATTATATTTTTATGCTTAATTAACTAATAAGTAACTTCTTAAATAAGTTAATTAAGAAGTTACTTAATAATTAACTAATCAGTAACTTTTTTTCTGTTTCATTAAAACTGACAAAAGTAAAAATTTTATCAATCAACCTTCCTTTAAAATCTTAAGAGGTTATCAACCTTTTTTTTTTTGGCTGGAACCCAAAATCAACCAGACATTCAACTATGAAATGTCTTTTTTTTTAAAAAAAAAAGCCATGTTAATAATAGATCTAAGCTTATTTCTCCTCTTGGTCCGTTAAAACCTTTATTAAAAATAAGTCTTAATTTCAAAAAAATTCTTTTTATAATAATAGATTTTCAAAGGTAACAAAAGCAAATTTTTATTATTACAGGCCTAAAAAAATTATTTTAGCGAAAAACTTTATTTCTGGTGTGTTTCCTCTTTTATTAATTTTCTTTTATATTAAAGGTAAATTTTTATAGTGACCTAAAATTTTTATGTTTACTAAACTTTCATGGACAGAATTTTCTTCTGAAAAAATGACTACGAAAAAAATCTAAATAGAGTTAAACCTTAATATGAATTTGAAAGGAACCACTAAAAATTTCTTTATTTAAAAAAAAAAATACTGTAATAAGTTTAGTAAAAATAACTGCAATTTAAAAGTTAAATTATGTGTAGTTACCTGTATTTGAAAGAACTGTTACACCATTTAATTTTACTATCTTTGCTACTTCATTTGAATTTACGTTTCGCTAAAATTTTATGGTTTTGTCATCTTTTAAAATTTCTTTTGAATAAATTGAATTAGCTATCTTATGGGACAGATGGTTCATTTTATCTATACGAATATATATTTACTTCTTTAAGAATGGACGTTTTAAGGAACTTCTTTACATTCATGGTATTTTTAATCTTATAACTGCTTCAAGAAATAATGATAAAGAAAATATGTTCAATAATCGAAGTGTAAGTCAATTGCATGGTCAAATTTTATGAATTCGAAAGATGTGTTTTTTTAACAATAAAATTTCCAGTTATTTATTAAGTATTAAGTTTGAAATTTTTCTTCTTTTTTTTTTTTTGGCAAATAACGTGTACTTTAATTTGATGCTCCGACCAAAAAAAAAANAAAAAAAAAAAAAAAGCAAATCAAGAGGCAATTTTAAAATAAATAAAATTAAGTAACAAAAAATTCCCTCCACCCTTTAAGTAAACAAGCTTTTTAAAGTGGGCTAATGTTAAAAAATATTCATGCTAAAACTAAACAAAATGCTTTTTAACTTCTCTGCAGTTAGTATCTATTTTAATTTGACGATACCAGAAAATGAACAATAACTATAACGCTTTTTTCAAACACTTAATATAAATAAACCGTAAATTAAGTTATTTTTGAAAGTTCATTTGGAGCTAAAAAGCAGTTTACTATTTATTTTTTTAGACAAAAATCATAATTTAATAATCATTGTAGCATTTTGATGCGTCATCAAATTAGTGTCCCAAATTGATTCATTTTTGCCAATACTTATAAATTCATTCAAACACTAATCCTTAAAAGCCTCAGACTCATACCACTTTCCAAATGGACTTATTTCCACTCTAAAAAATAATGGCACTTTCAGAAAAAAACATTTCTTTCATAAGTAATGAAATGATATTAACTAACCTACTTTTTAACAATATTGAAATAGCACAGAATAAAACACTAACATTTTTTTTATTAAATAATTTTTTAATACAAATAAAAGGAAGTATGAAACAAGAACAAAGCAAATAATACATTTAAATTAAGCATAATACATAAAGAAGTGATCAACTGTAAAGTTATTTAATGCTTTACAATTAATGAATTGTCAAATAACGCTTATTGATTGGTTACTTTTTAAGTAGACCAAATTCGAATAATAACATATTAAATGTTATTAATATTAAAAATAAATTACCAAATTAGATTTCCTTAAAATGTAGCAAAATTATTTTTTTAATTAGAATATGTGCTTTGTTGATCACTTAATTAAAATATGTTGCATTAAGTTTGATTTATTTACATCAGTTCTAATATATCACATTGGTTTTTCATCAGGGCTGTGGAGCTTCAGTTGAAGACAGGAGTTGAGAAGAGAAAGATTTATTCAACTTTTGTTAATTATAAGCTAGTTCTGAAACTAACTCTGGTTCATTAAAAGCTAGGCCTATAGATTAAAAGTTATAGATCTTTCGAAAATTTAGTAGACAATTATTCCATTTTTTAACTAAATGGATTTCATATTACTCAAATGAGTATTATGACAATTATTTAAATCATAACTCGTCAAAAATTAATTTATGACATTTGAATATTCACTATTCACAGTTAGTCAATATTCACTAAAGAGTATTTTTTTAATAAGATGCCTGTAATAAAGTTAAAAATTTAACATTTATTACTCCACAGATCTATTTTTATTACTATGAAAAAATTAAACTACAAACATGCATATTTGTTTGGCACCAAAAAAAAAAGAAAATGATATGAAGCATAATAATATTAAGAGATTCATAAATGACATCAAACAAATTGATACATAAATTATATACACAAAGAAAACATTGCGAAAAAACGTGTATTACCTGGCATAAGTATACATACAAGATTTTCAATTATTTTGTGGACTATGTGAGGAAATGTTTTTTAATTCAAAATAAATTAATATATTAATGTTAATAAATTTAGAATGATGATTTAGCATTTTATTCAGCAATAAGAAACTTTTTATAACTAGGACAGAACATAGATTTTCAATACTCATTTTACTATTGCATACGTAATTCACAGATTTAATATTGTTTCTTAACACATTTCTAAATTTTCAATTAAATTTTACACATAACACAAATTTTTTTTTTAAAAAAATATTATAACAGATCTAGGGAATATTGCTGTAAATTATTACTGGAAAATCAAACATTGGATAAAATAAAAACTGGAAAAGTTAATAATAATTGACTATGAAAATACAATATAATTTAATTCCCAGTGATTGCCATTATTATTGATGGCTCTGAAGTAAATTCCAAGAGAAAAAAAACTTTGTTTACATTTTTACCTTTTGTAACATGTGCTTTAATCACTAAATAATAAACCACAATATTTAAAAATAAGTTAATTTAGCTATGTTTAAATAAATAGAAAAAAAATGAAATGATTTACTATAGCTGGCCTTGAGTGGGTCCTATATTTTGCTAGTATGTGAATTATAATAAGATCCACATCATACCAATATATGCACATTGCTTAAATTATAATTTTTAACTTAAAAGCTAATTTAAAGTTTACTGAATTGATTTAATCAGTAAGTTTTTTTAATATTTGTTTCTAAAAATAGTACAAATTATAGCACAAATGTGTAAACATTTCAAATGATAACTAAAGAATTGAGTTAATAACGTGGAATGTTCCAATATAATTATATCTAATATATTGTACATATGTTCAAGGAGAAACAATACTCCAGAGGACAGAATGAATGCTATTATTTACTTATTAATCTATATAATAAAATTATTACTTATATATCAGTGTATCGTTCGTATATTTTTTATACATATTTATTGTATGTATATTAATCAATACAAAAACCAAAACTTGCAGATAGAATAATTGTTTGCAAAGAAATTGATAATTTAATTAATAATCAATTTCTCTTCAGTCTATTACAGTTTTTTTCCCCCTTTAGAAAAATATTTTCTAAAGGAAACAAAAATTATTTGAGTAAAATAATAATGTGAGTCATATTTTAACATTTTAGACTTAGTGTTGAAAAATAAAGTTACATTTTTTTTTATTAACTGAAACAAAGATATTAATCGCACGTTTACTATTTAAATATTCGCTGATTTTTCACAGATTGTCTAAATATGATTGGTTACAAATCAACCTTTAAAAAAAGGAAACCCTTGGTTTAAAAATACATTGCACAATACATTTTTCTTAAAAAGTACAACAGTTGATAAAGTTAGCTGGTCTTATTATTTTGAATTCCAAAGAATAAATAAATTTATAAGATATAATTTCAAGAATAAATTCATTCATTAAAAGAATAAATTCCTTGATACTAAGAATAAATAAATTCTAAAATAAACTTCAATATCTTAATTGGAGATTGCTTTTGCAATTAAACAATTCAGGCCCATAGTATAACTCATAACAAAAGTCTGTGCAAAAATTTAATTATATAAATTTTTTTAAATTTCAAATAAGCAACAAATTCAATTTATTCACAAGAGTTAGTGATTCAAATTCTTCACTGCATTTGAATAAAAAGTAGGGAGTAAAAGTTCATTTTTAAAATGGCAAATTAAAGGTCACTGATAATACATGCAAAAACAGAGAAAGCCAAATGCTCTAATGAAAATTTGTAAGTAATTTTTGTTTTACTTATTCTTCAAAATTTATTCTATAAACCACTTAGTCTGATTATTATAAATAATACTTGAAGTATTTTTAATTTAAAAGATCTGACAGAATAAATTTTTTTAAATTAATAATTAGAGGCGAACTCACTAATAACAAGCTCCAATAATTTAAAATGAACCCATATTTAACAAAGAAATTAGAAATATTTGGTTGGTACAAGGGCAAGTTTATTAGAACATGGCTCACTTTTAACGAGCAAACACCAGTTATAACACATATTTTTATGAGCTAATCCAGTCTTATAATTCCTTTTTAATGATTTTCATGCCGATAAAGTCCTTATTAATATTTTTTGAATTTATGAAAGTTATTTATGTCTATGGTCTTTGGGCTAACAATCTTAACAAAGAACAATAACACAAAAAAGAGAATATAAGAAAATTCAAAGCAAATTAACTAACAATTTTGATACTGAACATAAATAAAAAAATTAATTAAGTAAGTACTAGACTTATAATTTGGTAAGCATGTAAGAACTTTATTATTTTTTCACAACCCATTTTTTAAGGGCACTTGGTTACAATGTCTAAACATTCTGTGGTCCTTTCGAGCTCGTTTTAAGCAAGTTAGTTCGACCACACTAAGTATGCAACCATAATAATTGTCTGCCTATAGTTAGCGTAGCACTTCATAAGTTAACATAAGATAAAAATTTTTTTTTAAAAAAACGAAAAAGTAAAGGCTAAATATCAGGAATCTAAAAACTAACTAGACAAAGTCATGATTCTTATAATATGCATTTTGTATCAGCTGCCAAAAATTAACAGCAGGCAATTGTCAATAAGTCATAAAACAGCATTTATGAAAATAGGTATATACATAGATGAAAACATAAAGCATGACTAAAACATATACATAATAAAAACAGTTATAGTTTTTTTTAAATAAAAAGTATGTGTAATTATACATGAAAAAACTTTCTTCCTTCCCTACAATTAAACACGCATAATCATTCTTTTTTTTCTCAAGAAAATTAAAAAAGAACTGAGTAATAACAAATAATGGCAGATAATTAAAATTGCCAATTAGAAAGATTTTAATGCAGCAACAATGTTTATCTTAGAATTGAACTAAAATAATTTATGTTTGTAGTGTTTGATTTTTAATAAAAATACATATAATAATTTTTTAAAAAAAAAGCTTTCTTTCCTAAAAAACTTTATTTTAAATTATTATAGTTTGTGTATAAAATTTGAATACAATTATATTAAATTCCAAACATTCATTTATAATAATGAGTAATTATATGGTTTAGAAGTGACATTTTAAGTCCAAGACACACTGGTATCAAGCAATAAAAATTGGAAAAGAGTTCATAAATAAAGTTTCTATGAAGCTGTGGAATAGTTATTTAGCAATCATTTTTATTGTATTATGTATATCAAGTGAATAATAAAAATTGCAATACTTGGGATGATAATACAAACAAATTAGTGTGCAATATTTCAACAAAGCAAAATTTCTCCCAGTCTTACTTTGATATAAAAAGTCTAACTTTAAAAAAAAAAATACATCAAAGTAATAATTTAAGAATTTTAGTTAAAGTAATAACAATTAATAGAACTTATTAGAATAAAACTAATAAAAAAATTTCTTTGAAGTAACTATGTGTATGGATTACATACTAAGTAAAAAAAAATTTTTTTCCTTATAAAAGAAAGCACAGTTAAAACCTTGAATTTAATTCAGAAAAATTTAATGTTCACAGCCATTTTTAAATAAAACAGATGACAATGACATATTTAATGATTAATTTAATTAGATATTTCAACGAAGCAAGCCATCTAAAAATCTTAAAACTTACATAAAATGGTTATGATAAAGTCCGCACAATTTTGGAAAAAAAGAATAAATAAAATTCCAAAATCCTTCTCATTGATTGAATATGAGGCATTTGGAATTTTTATAATAGTTTCTCAAAATATGAAAGATTTTCAAGTTCAGAAAATGTAATGAAATTAGTTTAAGAAAATGCCTAAAGGATACATTTCATCTAAAATTTTCAAACTTGAAATTTTTAAAGTTAAAAACAGGTTTATTAAAAACAGCAATAGGCTTATAAAAATTTTAATGATTTTTTCTCTACTAACAATTTAAAAATTGACTTTTCAATTTTAAAATAAAGTTTGACCACAATAAAGATTTATTTTAACACAATTTTTGATCACAGACTTGAGAAGAATGTGTTTTTATGAATTATAGATGTATTAAGAGTACCACAAGCAATTTTACAGCATAAGTGCAATAATTCATAATAATAAAATTTTATGAATAATACCATAGATCCCTAAGACACCCATCAATTTGAAAAACCATTTAAAAAAAAAAGAAGATAAATATATGATTTGCTGCATTCTGCTAAAAAAACCAGTTTGTTTTTCCTAACTGAGAACAACTTCAGAACAATTTTTTGAAACTAATCATCATCTGCTGCAAGAAGGCGGCACAATTATCCTACATCTTTTAAAACTAACAGACCTTCTGGTCTGTTAATTTTGAGAATATTTCAATCGGTACAGTTTGAGATACAGCAGAAACTATTGTTTTTAAAAAAATTTCTAATCAGCAGCGGCATCTGTAGAAGAACTTTGTTACTAATTCTAAATTCTGATTTTCTAAACAGAACAGATTTTTCAAACTGGTGGTTATTTTTGGGAGATGCGGTACATTACACAAATATAATATCTAAAATATTGGAGGGTAATGTAGCCAAAAAGATCTTGACCAATGTTAGATGAGAGAGAAAAAAAAGATCTTGAAAATAAAACAAATTGTTTCTAGTGCAAAACACATGTGTCTCAAGTAAAAACACTTCGATCTTTGATACATTCACATAAATGGCAGTGGATGATAATATATATATATATGTATATATACATCTTGCGCTCAAAACTGCAGATAATATTTTCCCTGATGAAATTTCACAAGCACAAAATATACAGCTAACATCCAGAATTTTCATAGGAGTTATACCAGTATTTAGCAAATAGTAAACTGTTAAAGAAAAACAAAGAATAAAAACACTTTATTTCAAATAAATATAGCTAGATTTATATAAAATTGTTAAAAGCCAAGTTTTATAAAATAGTTCAATAAGTACAGTAAGTCATTTAATGATATTTCAAAAAGTGTTATTCCGCTAAATATATTACAGTTAGATAAGTTATTCACAAAACATGTGGAGTTTTTTACACAGAGAATTCAGCAAACATTGGCTATTCTTGCTATACCAATAATGAGTGGGAAAAAAACTGGGAGTTATTTATCCCGAAATTAAGATGATTTATTAATTTGTCTAACTATAGCGACGTTACAGTTATTTGCAATAAAGGAATGAAAGAAAAACAATATGGAATATCAATGTTTTTCATTTTGGATCGAATGAGACTGTGCCATGATTTTTATATTCAGAAGCATAATATGATTCAATTAATCACCATAAATATTTTAAAACAATGAATAGAAACAATACAATGATGTGCTATAGCACATAAAATTATGATACAGAAATGTATCTCTATTTCAGTAATGTGATCCAATTTAATTAAAATGATCCAATGCCCATTTAGTTTTTTTATTGATAAATAAAATTGAATATATTGCAATACAAATCACAAGCAAGTGACATTCGCCTGTAATTTATTTAAATCACAATTGTGAATAAAACTTGAGATATAAATGACAATAAATGGTGGTCTGAGATCTAGTATAACATTTGAGAAAAATTTTAAGATTAAAACTTTTTAACACATTTGTATCACATACAACATATAAAGAATCCGCTTTTAATGCGATTTTTGCATTATTGGGTCAATTATAAAATAAATATTAAGTTTTAAGGTTGTTAAATAAAACTGTATAGTTACAATATTGATTTTTTATCTTCCAAATACAGTGAAACCTCACGTTATGGACACTCCTACAAAACGGACGTTTTTCATTACGGACATATTTTTAATTCCTTGTTAATCTTCTATAAATAAACCTTTATGTACCTTCTCTGCAAAACGGACACTCCCGTAACCAGACCCAAACAGTCATTTATGCCCTGAAATGATATTTTACCTCTCTTCAAACGGGACACAAATTTTTCTAACTTTGAAAAAAAAAATTTATGGATTAAATTTTAAGAAAAAAAAAAATGCAGTGTTAATTGTTTGCCAATTCCACATTTAAAAATATTGTTAAGTTATTTTCCAACAAAATATCAATTATTCTCCTGTCCCCTTCCTTTTTCTTTGCAAAGAAAGGAGAGAAATGATACTGCTCATGTGAAATATTTCAGACAGTGGTATCCTTTAATCTGAATGGTACTGGTTATGAGACCTATACATTATTGCAATATCAAAAACAGTAATAAGAAATTCAGTATAACCTTATAAATGATTGTTAGTTTGTATAACCTTGTAAATCTTGACAGTTTAAGAGGTTTGAAAGTCCATGTTTTGAAAATTTTAGAAATCTTACTTAAGTAAATCAATAATAATATTAAAAATTGTTAAAGAGAAGGAAAAAAAAGACATTTGATTCCAACATAAATCCATATGATTTTCGGATGGCTTTTTGGCAATATTTCACCTACATAAAGGGGATTTTTGAAATTCCAACATTTTCAATAAGATAGTATGAATCAACGAGTTTAGAATTGTGCTTTTGAAATAAAGCACTTTTTGACACACTCAAATACTGAAAATTTCCTCCCAAATGCATGTGGTTTGGGCGAACGGCTTGTCCCGAAGTTACAGCAACAGATTTTCACGCGGTTTTTAAAACCATGACTATTACTGCTAAAGACTTCGCTTTAGATTAACATTTTAGTTTTAAAAAGAATTTAACTAATATTTTTCTGCTTTTCTAAAGTTTCCAGTTTAGGTTTTCAAGGTTATACTGCAGATACTTAAAATCTTACCATAAAGATCACAGATTAGTAATCCAAATTAATCTTTGGATCAGCTGCAGCTATTTTGGTGAGAGTCTTTTTCACTCTTAAGGAAGTGAGGCGGGCTGATGGTTTGTCACGCCAACATTCTTTCATAAGTTTTGTCATAGCAGACAATGTCTAGGGGAGAAAAAAAAGAGAATTATTTTAATCAAATTATGTAGTAACTGACATAAAACACAAAGGTGTTAGGTGCTTTGATTTAACTATATCAAAATAATACCATATCTGATGACCATCTATTGGGTATCACAGGTCTTGTTTGGTCAACACATACTACTTTTTTCATATCTTCAAAACTAGGATCACTAGGTACAAATTCATAAAAAGGTGGATGATAATCTTCAGCAATGCCTTAAAAATAAATACATCTAATTACTTTCACTCAAATGTAAAAAATGCACACAAGTTTTAAATACTTTAAGTATTATTTGTTAAAATTAAAAAAGTTAAAAAATAATAAGCTTTTATAAGTTTAAAATAATTTGTAAAATAAATATAAGTTTTAAAATTTCACTCAAATGCAAAAAAATAATTTTAAGTTTTAAATATTTCATATAATTAAATACATTAATTAGTTGCTTATCAGTAATTATGTAGGAACCTATAGTTAGATTTTCAATTTCAGTCAAGATTTTAATTTTCAAAAAATTTTGAGAACCAATTTAAAAATTATAACTTTGAATTAATAAATTTTAAAGTTTACATAAGATGTATAGGAAAGTAAGAAGAATGAAAAATAATGTTTGTTGACTTGAAGAGATAAACATAAGTTAAGAAGTTTGATAAGAAAAATTGTGTGAAACTCTTTTGAATTTAAAAATTAATGAGTTTTTCAATAACTATTTCTAAATTAGTTAATTTATTTTGTACGAGAACTTTATATATTACAGCTGTACTCTAGAAACATTTTTTTTATTTCATTGACAAACACAATTTTTACTAAGCAACTTTAAATGATAAAATACAAAATGTTAACAAAATCTGTTTAATTGTTACTGAATTAAAGTTAAAAAAGTTGCATTTTTAACTTTTTATTTCTTAAGAGTGATTTGATAAGTTTTGTATTTTGTCATTTCTTATGTAATTTAAAATGGAGTAAAAATTTGTATACCTTACAACAGGGGTGGCGAACCTTTATACACCAACGTGCCATTTTTTCTAAAAAAATTGTTTAATGAGGTCATAGACGTGCCGTCAAATAATTTTCACTTCGTGATTATTGGGAAAATAATAATACTAAATACTATCAACTCAAAACTCTTTATTTACATTGAAAAAAAATACATTTTGCCAAGTCTTAAAACAATTTAAAGTAACATCAGTGTGACTTCTGTTGCTGTAGATTCGATGACAAATAACTTATATTAGGTTGTAAGATGTTAGTTTAAGCGGAACTGTTAATTTTTTTTGTTGCTAGTTATTTATTGTCAGTTTGCTTTTTATGGTTATTGTTTTTTTAGCATTAATTGTTAATTTCTTTATTAATAATTGTTTATTATTTTGTTTGTTTTTTGTGAATTTTAATTTAATTGTTAAATATGCTTCATAGTGTAATAACATTTGTGTAATAACAATTCATAGTGTAATAACAATTGTGATCGGTGGCGTGCCAAAAATAGTGTTTCTCGTGCCGTAAATGGCACGCGTGCCATTGGTTCGCCATCCCTGCCTTACAATTCAAAAATGCTTTAAAGTTACTATTACTTATAAAAAGCAATAAATAATTATTAAGAATGGCTTCTTATTTGGATAGATGAAATTTATAATTAAGTGCAAAATTTTTCTGGTTTCAAATAAAAAGTTCTCAACATATGACCACAAATGCACAAAAAATTAAATTAACGTTAAGGGGTAGACTGCTCTCCAGACTATTGGAACCATTGTTTTCGAGATTGCGGCGACCCTCCATAACATAATGGTCAAGAATCCTAATCTATTCAAGAAAAGGTATGTCTATTCAGAAAAAGTACTTTTTGTGTTACATGCTAAATTTATTAATTAGCACTACTAAATCAGTATATTTGTAGTTAACTTTTTGAGCCATTAAATTTGATTTTCAGTAGATGAAAATCCAATCTTTCGGACGAATGTTGTTCAGGGGGATTATCTTTATTTTTTGTTTATCATTGCACAGTGCACAAAAAAAAAGGGAACTAACTGAATATCTTTTGATCTAATGATCAGATCTTCAAATTTTAGGACTTAATTTTAATGGTTCGAAGGGGTGACTTCGAATATGCTAATTAATTAGTCAGTGCTCATTCTAGGCAGAAAAAAGGGCAGGGTGCAAAAGTTTAAAAAAAGGGCATTATTATTCTAAAAAGGCAATAATTTCTTTCTATGGGCTTTACAAGTTCTATTAAAAAGCATTGTCAATTTTTTATTTTTTTACTTTTCTAAAAGTAGCAAAGCAATCATATTAATTACTAATTTTTAATAATAAATTAATATATATATCGAGTTAATGAGCTAATTTGCTTAGTAATTTATTTAAAATGCATGCATATATTAATAAAATAGTAAATGTATGTTTTTAAGTGTCTGTAGTTATGATTTAATAATTAAAATGATGAATAATAATTATTATTTTATGATAGTGAAGTAACTGCAAACTTTCAAAGACGAGTGCAACAAGGGGGTGTGATGGCTATTTTTCCTTTCCCATATAAATCTATGTATTGACAACAATGACAAACTAAATAAAAAGAGTTAAAAATAACAAAAGTTTAAGAAATCCATTGTAGAATTTGGGAAAAAAATAAAGGGTTGAGGAAAGAAAGGGCAAAAAGGGTATGGAGTCTATTACATCAGGGCACTAATTTACTTCAGGGGCAACAGGGTGGATTCTTTTGACTAAAAGGGCAGCAGGGTGCTGCGCCCTGTTTACCCTGCCTAGAATGAGCTCTGANTTCAAGCAAGAAAGGGAAATTCCCGTCATTCATTAAAGTGGGTACTTGGAGGAGAAAAATTCATTTCCTCCTTATTTGTGAAAGAAAATAAGTGTAAAGAGGAGATCATTTAAGTTGAGGGTGGGGAAGTAACAAATTATTGTTTTCTCTCCAATCATTGGCTATCAATCAAGCATAAAGGCGGGGCACGCTGATTGGGTTCTCTTTATTTTTTCTTCGATAACTGAAAGAATGTTACCCCCTTTTTCCCCCACCTCCTAAGTATTACATGGTATGGGGAAGAACGAATGTTTTGTTTCTCAAGGACGTGTATCCTTTTACACCGATTCAAATTTTCCATTTTGACTCCCACTCCACCTTAACGCTTGCCCCGTTTACCCTTTTCCACAGTATTTCTTCTTTCAATAAAAAGGTTCCAGGAAATGCCTCTCAGAATCAGACTCAGTTGCGGTCTTTTGAAAACAAATCTCCCTCTTTTTCCTACATTCCAAGGGAGGAGCGTCACTAACGGTCACTCAATGGTTTTGGTAGATCTTCACTTCCCCTTTCTGGTGATTTATGGGTTCGATGCATAAATCAGAGGTTCAGTGCAAGCTAAAAAAAGAGAAAATGTGTCAAAAGACCTTTTTTTTTTTTTAAAGGAAAGGGGAAGATGGAGAGATGTTTGTTTATTTTGATTGTCAAAAAGTGTCCGGGAAATTGACGTCTGGATATGGGACGTTACACTGTAGTAACTATTCCTTTCCTCGAGATTTGAAAAATGTTTTTTTTTTTCCCCTTGGAAAACTGAAAGATTCTTGATTAAAAAAAAATTATATCAGTCTTTTTTTCCCTAAGAATTGAACATCATAATATCTGTTCAGTGTTAAAGAGAGTATTGTGTTATAGCGCCCCCTAGGGAGAAATTCATTCCTGTAATGGCGCCTAGGTGAGAGTTATGTGCAAGGAGTGAAGCGATCTCCGAAAAAATAAAGTAATGTTGTTCTAAGTTTCCGGTCATCCTTGTGTTATGAATATTTTATGAACTAGAGAATAAACAATATCCAAATAAGCAACTTCCACTTTATCAACATTATACACAACACTATTAGTTTTACCCCTTAATGATCAGTTAATTTTCTAGAAATCAGTCATAAAAGTATCTATTTTTATTTTACTATCACGCATTTGATTAGGGCTGACATTTAGTTTAAAATAAACTAACTATCTACAATTACCTTAAAAATATCCCGCTACTGCCATCTGGTGTGTAAAATGAGAAATACAAGGTTTTCTGGGCAAAAGAAATAAATTTGCTTTATTCTTATTGGCACATTACTACTAAACACTCCAGCCTGGAAATATAACGGGAGCGAGAAACAGAGGACGAAACCTCACCCCGTCATTTTCACGGGAGCGAGAAGAAAGGGGTTAAAAAAAAAAAACTTAACTAGCACAAAGCTAGGAAAACACAGATCGACAGCACTCTGACCCCCTGTTTCACTCAGAAATCTTAGCATAGGTTCTCAATAATAGACAAAATTAAAAGATCCTTTTTTTTTTTGAATATGTTAGAAGATAGTTAGGATGAATTGGAGCATAGCTGAGACAGGCTTTGAAGCAATTTTGAAAAATATCCCTTTATGTCCAGCAATTACATTAATAAAATTATTAGATCTAATTCACTCAATACTTAAAATATTGCTCGAAGAATTTTAATTAAGTTTAGAATATCTGTCAATTTGAGATGTAGAGAAGTTATAAGTTACTTCAGAATTTATAAATTTTAACCATTGTAATAAGAAACCATTTTTTTTAAATGTGACATTAAAACATGCAGTTTAGCAATGATACAAACTTAAAATTTCTATTATCCTACTTGTGGAACGAAAATAAAGTATAAAGATGAGAATTAAAAAGAGATCTTTCTTTAGAATGGGTCTGAAGATAGCTAGGAAAATTAGATCGAGACAGATTTTAAGCAATTTTTGGAATAATTGCTCCTTAAGTACAGAAATCATATTAAAGAAACTATTGGAACATGTTCAAACAAGATTATGGATAGCTTTGCATTAGATTAACTTTTATTGGATAAGATTAAATTTTATAGAAAACTTGTCCATTTTAGTCAACTAGATACAGATATTTGTTTATTGGAATTATCAATCATTACCTCAAATACTCTTTTAAATATTGTTCAAATAATTTTAACTATGTTTAAAGAATCTGTCATTTTAAAAATGTAGAAAATTTAAATATTACCTCCAGTTAAACAGCGTAAACAAACTTCCCATAAAATCAGTCCAAATGCATACATATCAGCTCTTGTGTAAGATCCAAAGTGGTTGGGATCTAGATTTTCCTCCAATACTTCTGGTGCCATATAACGCTTAGTGCCCACTCTGTAGTTTTCAGCAACAGACGTACCACAAGATCGGGTGTGTGTCACGGCTAATCCAAAATCGGCTATTACGCAAGTTCCATTCCGTCTCACAAGAATGTTTTTAGTCTGAAAAATATTAAAATAAAATTAATTGTAAAGAAAAGTTATAATTTACAAATTTATAAAAATGTTTTATTATGTTCCTGTTCAAAAGGTTGCTGAAGAAACAAGTTAAGAATATAATTAACAAGTTTATAAAAATGATTTACTATCAGTGCTACCATCTAATTTAAAAAATAAATAAATAAATAAAAAATCTACACCTTTCCAGGCATTTTAGGAAAATTTCAATGTTATTTGTATGTAAAATATTGAATAGTTACTCCAATTCCATGCTGAAACTTTTTAGTTATCTGAGGATTACTTACAAATACAATTGTAATCACTGTCTTTATAAAACTGCATCAGAGACAGCACTGCATAATATGCAAATAAAATTTTTCTGTAAAAATTACATTAATAATTGTATGAAAGGATCTTTGGAAGTAAGCAAATTTAATAAATGGTTCAGTCATTTTTTTTAAAAATTGTGTCATTACTTATAAAGATAAGAGAAGAATAACACTAAAGGGACTCAACACTGCTTTGCAAATAATACTATCAAAAACTTTTTTCTCAGTTTATTGCAATCTCTTATTCTCATGGTCGAAATCAAGAATATAAATAAGAAAAAAAGTAGAGAAAGCAAGTCTTAGTACTTTATTTTGGACTTTAAAAATTTGTCTGGCACTAATTAGCTTGTCTAAAGTTGATTAAATGATCAGATTTTTAGGTACCAGGACTCAATCTTAATGGTTCGAAGAAGTTATCTCAAACATGTTCATTAACTAGTGCAGATTATATTTTCTGTATAAACATATCTTTCTTTCGACAGATTTGAATTTCTAACCCTCGAAATATACGGGGTAGCCAGAACCAGGAAAGTATTGTTTTACCGATTTGGGCAGGTGAAAGATTCAAATATTGGCCCCTTTAATTTTAATTTCCTTTTTTGCATACTTGGCCCTATCTTGAGAATGTCTTAAGCAAATCGAAAAATCTTAGCACCCAATAATAAAATTCAGTTATCCAAAAATAATTCTATACAAAAAATAATTTTTAATTATTTTATTTAACAATAGTTGTTAAAATTTTGAATTATAAAGTGTAAAAAATTTTATATCATTTTAAAGAATGCTATTTTACGAGACAAAATACAAAACTTGGAACAAAATCAGTAGAATAGTTACTGAGATATTAAATTGTAAAGAAGGTGTACATTTTCTCAGGACCACTGCACAGATTTTGTTCAAATTTTATATTTTGTAGGATATAAAATTATAATACCAAGAACAATTTCAAAATTTTAAATATCCATAATCCTTTTTTGGAATCTAACAAACAATCCTTTTTTGCCATTGAAAATTAAGCTAGTTTAAAGTTCAGTAGCAACATAAGAACTGAAACTCACTAAAATATTTATTTTACTTTCCTTTGAGTTTTATTTATTCCAATACAAAGCTTACTTGCTTTCATTTAAAATTTGTTCAGTTTGATTGCATAACATTAACTGTTTGATGCAGAATTTTCCTTAAACATATTTTTAGATTTTTTTTGTATTAATAAGTGATATACATTTAGCATTTTAATAATTTTTGGTTATGAAATACAGCATTGGACAACAAAGTCTTTTTTTACATTAAAGGTGAAATCTTCCAAACATGGCTTCTTCAAATCAATAATTTTTCAAATTTGCACTTATTTAGATCTACAGGGATGAGATTAGCCAAAAGGCAAAAAAGCTGAATTTCCACGATAGTAAATTTTAGGCAAGTGCAGCCCTTTAATAATAAATTCCAGACAGTTTAAGGTAATAAATAATGTGTTGACATACAATTGCGTACTAATCTATTATTATAAAAATGACTACATTGATACTTAACATTTAGTGAAAATAAAAATTACCAATTGAAAAAATAAAGCTGGAAATTATATTTTTCCTCAGTTTACATAGGAGACAATTATTACTTGAAAAACTACTTGGTTTAGCAAATTAAAACTACTGAGAATATACATTAATATTTCATTTCTTTTAATAAATACTGTTATGTGATTTATAGCAAATATATCAGTAATATTACTTTTTAAATTATATTGGAAAAAAAAAACTTTAACAATGAACCAAATCATTATGTTCATGTTATAGTCTAATCTAACTACAGCCCTTTGAAACATATCAATAACAGTGAAGTAGAAATATATAGTAACTCCTTAACATACAAAAATTGCTATTTTAGTTTGAAAAATTACATGACAATCAGCAACTGTTTAGATAATTGTTTTTTATTTGATAAGAATTTTGCATTTTATAGCATAAATAACAGCAATTATAAATAAAATTTTGATGATGAGTTAATTAACTCTTTTTCCAACAAAAAAAAATTAAATTGAATCCCTTTTTAAGTTATTGCTTTTGTTTCCTATATCTTTTATGTTTGCTATATTTAGTCGTTAGTCCATTTTCAAACATTTTGTGACAAATCCTATTTTTTCTTCTTTGTAATCTTTGCCTGTAAGTTTTGAATATATTCCCTTCCAGTTTCTCTGATGTTGTAACACTTACATATACATACTAATAATCGTGGTTAGAAAAACAGTCACCTTTATAGCAACTAATTTTTTAAAAAAATTTACTTCTTACAAGAATCGCGAGAGTTGATCTTAAAATTGCGTGAATGTGAATAACAATTATGGATTTTGAAATCACATGAATATGAAACTAGATAAGATTTTGAAAATGAGAAAATACAAACTGGGATATAAAATTTTTAAAACGCGTAAATACAAATGCCGATTCATAATTTTTAGATCGCGTAAATACGAATCATGATGCGTAATTTTTAGATTGCATAAATAAGAATTATGATGCATAATTTTTAGAATGCGTGAATGCGAATCCCAATGCCTTATTTTAAAATCACGTATAAATGAAAATCAATGTTTGATATTATAAACAGCATGAGCAAATCAAGACATTGAATTTTAAACTTGCGGGAATACGAATCGCTTCATAGGTTTTTAAAAAGGCGTACAATATTCAAATCGCGTGAATAAGAATCTCAACACGCAAATATGAAAAGCTATGTTTGATATTAAAATCGTGTGAATAAGAATCGAGATGTTGGCAGACTCCAGGCTTGGGACCTCTAAAAGGCTTGTCAGAAACAGCATCGTTTGAACTACAAAAATCGGATCTATCTGGAGGGTGGGTAAAAAATTCGGAAAATCTTATCTGCTGCGAGTAAAAGGGGAGAAAATAGCTAAAATAAGTAAAAATGAGAAAGGATTGGTAGCTATGTAGTTTGAATTTTGTGTTTCTCTTTGAAAATGGGTGAATTTTTTGAAAAAGCGGAATACTTATAAAAAAAAAGTGAAATTTTTAGAAAAATCTGAATTTTTGATAAAAAAGCTGAAATTCAAGAGATAAAAGTGAAAAAAGCGGAAATCAGCTGAAAAATCTCATCCCTGGATCTAAGAGAAACCTTAATTCATCATTGAAATTTCTTTGATTTATAAAATCAATAATTGATAAAGTTTTGAATATGAATGAAAAAAAAGTCAAACTAATTTTTTGAATTTTATATTTTAGTACCAATATAATTCAGTGCCAATATAATCTAACAGTTTTTGTAAAGTATCTATTCTATTTTTTTCTCAATAAAAAAATACCAATATATATGAGTGATTATTTATAGTTAGAGCGTCAGAAAAAATACATATAAAAGGCAGATTGGTGTCTCACTCATACCAAAGGGTTGAAACACACAAAATCTAAGAAAATGAGTTACTTTTAAATCACGATGAGCAATGGCTGGTTTTTCATCTTGCCCACTACTTATTTCAGTATGAAGGTGAACAATGCCAGAAGCAGCAGATATTACAATAATCATCATTTGCTGAGGAGTCAATGTTCTAGTATTGAGATAATCATATAGAGATCCAAATTCATGATAATGAGTGATCAGCCACAACTGAGTGCAAGAATTAATAGATGTCACATCTGATCCCATATATTCCAAAATATTCTCATGATGCAACATCATGGTACTGTAGATTTCAGTTTCCCTGGCCCAAGAGGCTTCGTCGCGTGAAAAGAATATCTTCACCGCAACACTTTCACCGTGCCAAATCCCACGCCAAACTTCACCATAACGGCCTTTACCTGAAATTTAATAACAGAAAAGACACTGAATAAGAAAGAAAATTATAAAGAAATTCTAAAGCAATTTCATAAAGAATTACAATTTGCAAATATGAAGGGATTATAGCAATAAGACACAACTTTATAACAAAAAGTTCTTTAATATTGTTTATAGATAGGTATTGGAAAAATTTCCAGAGCTTCTACTAGATAAATTATAATATACATGAATATCTTATAACTAAAATAAAAATTTGGGTGTCTTTTGCTATAAATGCTTTCCAGAACAATTTGAAAATGGGACAAACAATTGAAATGAAACAATTTAAAATCTGAAATTAAAATATGAGTTATGAACTAAAAAGAAAAAGTAATGGAAAAAAGATTTTAAGAGACCATAAAAAATTGCAATACTATTATTGAGATCAATGATGCTAAATTTTGATAAGTTGTATTATTGGTATTGTGACATTTGCTTTTTTAATACATATCATCTATAATAAGTTAGATATGTAATATGCATATTTTAGTAAAACGGTTTTTACAGACCAGCTGAACAGGTTTAAGTAGCAGACATTTTTTTTTTGATTGGGGTAAAGTTTGAGCAGTTATGGCAAGTTGAATGATGAGTTAGCTGCAAGCAATAATGTCATGCCAAATGATAACAAATTTAGTTAATCTTTATTTTAATGAGTAAAACTTTAAAAAACAAGTTTTGTTTAATCTCATAATCTTATAGAAGCACCTCATAGTTCTTTTTATAGGAGCACCTAGGTATTCATTCAGAGGTTCAAAATTTTAATATGGTACACAGACTAGAGAAAAAATCAAACTTTACAATTACATATTTCATGTAATGGTACACATCAAAAATTTTTAATTGCTATCTATAACACCCTAAAACAAATTAGGCTCATTACTTCACAATCATTGAAGATTAGTATTAATTAAAATTAAGTTTTAAAAAAAATCTAAAATATTAGTAAATAGATTTAACCAGGGCTCGAAAAAACTCAGAAATTTTACCCGTCCCCTAGGACAGCTTGTCCAACAATGTACCTGTCCTAACCCGTAACTAACCCATAGTTTTTAAATAAATAAAAATATAATTTTCTCTTATTTATTACAAACATTTACATAATTGCACAATGAATTAGTAGTTACTAGGATTACAATATTCAGTAATAAAAGAATTAACGGGTTTTCTAGATTAGAGGGTCATTTTAGAAGTGAGGTGATAGACTCTTGTAAGAAAACAAAAATTGAAAATGTATCACGAAAAATGGTCGTCCGCGCGGACGTCGGATCCGAGAAATTTGTTGCCCACGGGGAATTTTTGACCGCCGAGGACGGGTAGTTTTTCAAGCCCTGGATTTAACATAAATTAAAATGCTGACACTGAATAAATAAATAAATGAGGAAAAATGCGAAAGAAAGAACAAACAGAATATTACATAAAAAAATTTAGAATCTAAAAACTATACGATTCTAAATAAAGTTAATTCCAAAAGAACAAAAAATAATATTATTTTATTGATGAACAATTATACTGCTAGTACATGAATGCCAAGTACAGTACAACATGGAAATTTGAAATTCCAGCATTTAAATGTAAAATTTTTTGTACCAAACTCTTTCAGTTATTCCGTTTAAAAATTTTTGAAACTAAAGAAATGAATATAAAAAATTGTAATTTATTTAGATAAACTTACTTAGTTTCGTCATAGGAGTTTAGCAAAATAAAAATTCATTTTAAATGATCTACAAATAAACACACCTTTTTTCATTTTTCCATTTAAAAGTTGTTTTTCCAAATAGAAAAACTGGAAAATCTGATCCCATTTTTTGTAACGATTTTGAAAATTCTAAACATACTTCATGGCCAAAAATTTGTCGCCCATGTGTATGATTTTAGTGCCATTTGCTGAGCATTTGGCGAACGGGCATACTTGCCCTTCTATTAAGGTAATTTAGGTAAAGTAAGACACCAGGATGGGTAAATAATAGAATTAGATTTTAATTAGCTTAATTAATTAATTTAATTAGCTTTTTTTTACTGTGTTAGTATAAGCCTTTGAGAATTTAGCAAGATTTTGTATTAGTGATTATAAAAATTTCAGTGAGTGATTAGAGCTTTTACTCCATATGAAGTATGGGTATTTAGTTAGTATTTCAAATAAAAAGGAAAAGCATGCACATTGAAAACATTAAACAAAAGATTCACCTACCAATACATTCAGCAAGCGTAATTTGACGAGCCAAAGTACGCTGGATGAGTAATGGTAAACCAGATCCACTACCAGAAGAAACTGAGTGCTCAAAAATTTCCTGAAAAGGAAAACTTTTCATAATATGCTAACAAAACTCTGTGTATTTAGATAGATAAAGATGTCTTTAGTAGATAAAAATATGAGATTCAAAGAAGTAGTTCATAAATCTAAATTATGTATTTAATATGCCAAACATTGAATTTACGAAAAATGGGCTTAATTATTGAATTAACTAAAATCGTAAAAATTAAATATTTCATCTTGCAAATTCTGCTGGTATAGGGAAAGTAAAAAAAAAAATTTTCTCACAAAAAGACCATCAACAAATGAAATTAAAGAAGCCAAAAAAAAAATTTCTTTAATATTATTTTAAAATATATCATTGAATTTATAAGAGCAATAAGTTTCAATTCGAAAAATTTGAATGCTTACCTTGAGTGTATTGTCCCCAGCTGCAGTTGCTCTCAGGTCATCATGATAAAAGGACTCTATATCATTATGATTAACAAGGGATATCATTCGTCTCTTGCCACAATGTCTTAAAATGATTATTATGCCCCACATAACCATACATAATGCAATTACACCACCCACAATGGATACTAAGATAGTAACAATTGGATTGGACTCTTCTTCAGAAGCTGTAAAAAAAAAATTGAGAAATTATAAAGACAAAATGACAGTAAAAATTAAAAAAAAAACAAAAACAAAGTAAACAACAAAAGAATGAAAACATGTCATAATGGTTATTGATTACTTAAAAGAAATAGAACCGAAGTATTTTCACTAAGTTAGATTTTTAAAAGACAGATATATCTTTCTAAAAAAAAATATGAAAAATTTTAATACTTTGAAAGTGACACATCTTTTATTAGTTAAAAAAATTAAAAGAGCCAAATTGTATGACCATTTCATTTTGAAATGCAGCAGAGGAATTTCTTTCCAAGGATACATTTTCATACACAAAAATTTTTAAACTAAAATTCTTCAATAATTTTTTTTAAAAGCATAAATGTAATCTTATTTCTTTCTTTCCCACAATGAAAATAAACGTCTAACGGCACAAAATATTAACATTATCATTTTCTTCCAAATTTTAATTCAATTTATAAATACATATATATGGATAATTTTTGCCAATGCCACAGTCTTTGGTGCAAAGAATTCAACAGCACTTTTTATTATTTTTAAGTGACAATATTCTGAAAAATAATAAATAAATAAAATAGTTGAATTCACTTGCTTCTACAAAATGGAAAAGAATCAAAATAATTAATTCTACAATTAAAATTCATGTATAGACAAAATGTTGAAAAATAATCACAAAAAATGACTCACAAGAGGGCATTAATGGCATTAAGACAGGAAAAGATCCATTATTGCAAAAGTCTCCCTGACAGCAAAGTCCACTGTACTGAGCCTTATTGGGTTTGTTAGAGGTAAACTCTGTTGTTTTACAAATAAAATACATAGCATCTTTGGAATCCAGGCAGCCTTTCTGCAAACCTCGATAACCATTAATATCTCCCACAGAAAAACTAAAGCACTGTAAGAAAATTATAATTTTTTTTTTTTAAATTATCACTTTCGTCACTATACAAACAACTGTCATAAATATATATACATATAAATACACTTTTATTTAAGAAGGGATTACAATAACAGTTATTGAAGAATAGAACAGAAAGAATAACAGGCATTTTCTCAGTATATTATTAAGTCAATTTCCCACATGATTTTTCCCACATGATTGCAATATATTTGAAAACCTCTTATAATAAATTATTAATTAGAGTAACTAATCATTTACCTCTTCAATTCTCAGTTTAAAAAATGCATATTTTTTTATTTATTTTATCCATATTTCAAACAAATTAGAGAAATTGAACAGAAAGACTATTTTTTTGTTAAAAAGAAACACGGAAAAGCATAACAAAAATTAATGTCAATCTAGAAGAAATTTAACTTAAAACAGGGATAGAAATAAAAATTTTTTATAACAGAACCAGTAACTATAGGATATTATATTATTAATCCATAAACATTTTCAATGGTTTGTTTTGTTTACATATCTTNACAATAACAGTTATTGAAGAATAGAACAGAAAGAATAACAGTTATTTTCTCAGTATATTATTAAGTCAATTTCTCACATGATTTTAAAAAATTATTAAGAATGCAATATATTTGAAAACCTCTTATAATAAATTATTAATTACAGTAACTAATCATTTACTTCTTCAATTCTCAGTTCAAAAAATGCATATTTTTGTATTTATTTTATATATATTTCAAACAAATTAGAGAAATTGAACAGAAAGATTATTTTTATGTTAAAAAGAAACACGGAAAAGCATAACAAAAATTAATGTCAATCTAGAAGAAATTTAAATTAAAAATGCTGGTTACAGATCTAACAAAAACTAATCTCTAAATTAAAACAGGGATAGATATAAAAAAAATTAATAACAGAACCAGTAACTATAGGATATTATATTATTAATCCATAAACATTTTCACTGGTTTGTTTTGTTTACATATCTTCACTAGATTTTTTTTATAAACCAAAGTTTAATAAATGTAAGTAAGTTTAACTTGTAAGTTGTTTAAGTCTAATTTGAAATAATAATCAAAAATTAAGGATAAATATAAATTAAGGATAAAAAAAACATGTCATAGGAAAATATGGTTAAAACTTATATTTATTTTATGCTGATGAACCAAAGTGAAAAAACTTAGTGAAAAAACTCAATTATCATTCCTGTTACATTTTCACTAATAGTAAATCACCCGAATAAAACACATATAATAGAATAAAAATGGACATTATTTAGCCACAGCTCTACAAACAAAAATTTTGCTCAGATTCACAAAATCATTTCGTGTTTCAACATAGAGAAATGTTCTAGCTTATCAGTTTAGCTAATCCCATAAGATGTTTTCTCATTGGCTGTGTCTGATAATGGCATTAGGTTTTCATTAATAGTAAGATATTATGAATAAAATACCTTATTTTTAGACTTACCATAATAGCATTATCACAAGTTGAAACCTTTTCACAATCTTCATCACAACTATAACATGAATAGCGACTGGAATTTTTTGAAGTTATAGTGGCATCTGCAAAATTTTGAGTACATTATTAATAAATATAAGAGATACAATAAAAATCAGCAAAAATGAAAGCTGAAATAAAATTAATTCTATATTAGTGAAAATTATATCTACACAATGAAACACCCGGTCAAATACGTATTGCTGTAAATTAAAGTATTTTGAACTAATTAAAAAATTAATACAGTGCAAATGTCACCAGCAATTTGCAATGCATCAGGGTGATTGGAAAAGTCTTTTAGTAATTAATGAGTTCAATATTTATTAGACTTACTACAATCAGTAATTATACCTTTAGGCTAATTAAGCAATTTGTGAATAACTAAAATTGAATTTGTTTGGGTTTATTACAATAACCCCTAGAATTGCGTGGGTGTTTTGCACACAGAAAAGAATTAACTCTTAAATAAAAATCTGGCAAAAAAACAATTTCAAAAATCTAACTTTTCATGTATTAAAACTGATTTTAGATCTTGTATTTACATATTTTATTTTTAAATGGGGCTGCAAGACACAAATAACACTCATGTTGTGTTAAACAGTTCACAGAAAAGCACCTATATGAATGCATGCAAGGTGTCCTAGACCCCATGGCAGAATCGTGGTGAGACGGCGACTTAGTCGCAGAACGTTATCGAGTTCTTGCAGAAAAATTTATCTTTTGGAAAAAAAAATGTTTTTTTTTTCTGCAGAAATTTTCGAATGATTTTTATCTTTTCTTCAGCCTTATATTCAAAAGATGTCTTTCTCGTGCATCGGAAAGAAAAAAATGCTTGTGATTCTTCTATTCTCCTCTGATAATAATGAAAAATAAAGAGTAATGAAGTAAAAAAATTTGGTTTACTTTTCTGCAGAAATTTTCGTTCGAAATTTTTTAATACAGTCATTATTACTGTTGATTTCCACATAGTTTTTAAAATCCAATATTTTTATTACGATATTATTTATTACAACAACTGAATCTTGAAATGAAACCACGCATTTAGTAGCCCTTTTCATCATCCGATTCGAATGGTATCGTCGTCTATCTTTTTCTCTCCGGTAGTTACTGCTACGGATTTCATGATTTTTAAAATTATTTTTTGAATGTGATAATGATTTACAAAATACGAAAGAGGAAATAATTAGTGTGTTTTCCCCCTACAAAATGCGAGAACATCACCTATAATATTAGAATTAAAAAAAAATTGCACATTTAATTAAAAAATTATTTTACTTCTTCCAAAAAGAATTATTATTATTTATTATTTTTTTTTTTTGAATTTTTAATGCTTCTGTTACTTTAATTTAGTCACATGTATATTTGTTATTTTTAAAAGTATCTTGCAGAAAGATTATTATTAGAGGTATGTCACAGAAAGCCTGAAAAAATTCTGCCTCAGGGGTCCCAGATTAAGTTCTGCATTGCATTCATGTTCATTTTGTCCCATTTTCATTTATATTTCAATTTAATTACCTTCTAATCTTATTAGAAATTTTGATTTCTAACCAATAAGGCTGCTGCAAACTTAAAAAAAAATTTAGACATTCAAGACTTTCTCTTATTATGATAACTATTTATTTTAAGAGCTAATTGAAAATCTAGGGGATATTTTCGTATTCAACTACAGCCACCACCTCAACTACAAATGCTAAGGTGCCAAATGGAGTTTAAACAGGAAATTTTTAAAAAAGTAGAGGTTTGCTGGAGCATGGCTACACATTAATACTCTTTGAGTTGGTAAAACTTGTGTTATTCTACCACAGATCAAGATATGGAAATCATCCCAAAATTTGCAGCTATAACCAGAAGTTGCAATACTTTTAGCTTCTTACTAGGAAATTTTTATTTAAATTGACAGACAGATTTATAGATTTCAGTGGATGTAGGACCAAAGTTATAATCATTGTGTGTTTTGAAGAATAATAATATAAATAAAAAAAAATAGATTAAACGTTTGAAAATAATGTGAAAAGAAAGTTGGCAGGTCCAGTGTCACTACAAATAAAAATTAATTCAAATTATTTATACTAATATTTTTACTATAATTCAAAAAAGATGTTTAGCAAATGATGTAGTTTTCCTTTTTCATAACCTTTACTGTTAGGCAAAAATTATTGTAGACAGGCAACTGATCTTTATTTACATTATGCATACCAGCTGTACACATAAATACTTTCGTTGCCTATAATCAAAATTCAAAGAGAACAAAAGTTCGAAGACTTTATAATCTCGATTAGAAATCTTTATAATCTCGTAGTGTCAATCAGTTTTGTAAAATAAAATTGACTGAGTAATCAGTTTATTTCTTATTCAAAATGTTAACAGGACAAAGGTAGTATTTTGAACTAGTTTGGAGATTTAAATCTACCATTACTACATCTGTAAAGATGGTTAAAATCACTTGTGAACTAAATTTTAAATTAAGTGGAATAAATCATAAATTATTTTAAAAAATATCATTAAATAATTAACTTTGTTTCATAACGACGAGGAAAAAAAAATCTATTTTTTGGAAAAACATTTCCTCCTTATTTGATTGTAATATGACGAAAATTTTAATGAAACACATTTAATACTTACGAATGAAAGGTAATAAAACAAGAAAGTAGACAGCGGAAAAGTATGAAATAGAAGCTGCCATAGTAGTCATAAAATTTTTTTTAAAAGTTTAAATAAAAAATGAGCACTCTAAGAATTAAAGTTTGTAAAAAGTTCTTTTGTATAAAAAAGCGACATTTTACGAGACAGTATTAGAATCTTTAAATAAGCTGTCTTTTAAAATTAAATAAAAATAATTCATGAATTCGTCGTTCGTCAAAACACCACTTAAAACTTTTGTTTTTGCTTTTTATTCCCCCTCCCCTCTTCAGAAAGACAGTTATAGTTATTTTTCTAATCATATTTTTATTTTCCTTCTGAAACGATAAAAAGAAATACTTCTTCAAATAAAAATTTCTTAATTAATTCAGAAGCTATAGTCACCTTAATGGTTAAATATTTAAATATGAATCAAAATAATAATGTAAAAAAAATGCCGTCATCAAAGAAATGAAGTGAACAAAAAGCAGTACAGTTTCATCATTTCGGCAAGTGTGGTTGCATATAATTGGTAATTTTATCTTTTATTTTAACAAAATAAAAATCTTTTATTCTTATAATGCGTTACATTATTTATTACCTTTTATGCTAAATTTAAACTTCGAGATTTGTTTGGAGAATAAGCTCTGTGAGCAGTTATGTAATACCGGCGGAGCTCGTACTAGAATTACATAAAATCAACTGTTTTATTTTATTTCTCCCCTCTTTTATGTGTTATGCCAAATTTTTACAAAATTATTATTTTTTTTTATAGAATTCACAGTTGCTTCCCGATTTCAAAGTAAAGACTTTCTAAGTTATTTTAAATACTTATTACCATTATACTTGTTTACCTAAAAATCTTTAGTAAGGTCCATTAACCATGTTCATTTCTAAAATTGTTTGCGATAGTAATTGTTATGGTTTAACTTATGGACATTATTTCTGCTTACAAGCTAAAATTGTCATAAAATATTCAAATTCGTATACTTAACTCTTCTGACTTCATCTGATGGTAGTTGTTGAAATCTAATGTTTGTTAAAAATGTATAATTCTGGCCAATACCATACATATGATACATATACAATTGATACATATTTGACTTTATTTTGTTTATCTCTAATTTAATATGATTATATTTTACTTATTTTTAAAATTTACTGGGAATCTCATTTCCATAGATGTATGAAGCAGTGACAAAAGTTGAGTAAATGTTGTATTCTTTAGAGTTAATTGAAAGTCTGTCCATGGGATCAACTTGTTTCTTTTAAGAGTACATGGAATTTGACTTTATTATTTTAATTAGTCTATGGGATAGTTTTTTTTTTTTTACGTAGTACCTGTTTACATCTTAATCAATCAGCATTTTGATCATAATATTTAGGTCTGTAGTATTTCATGTTTTTTTTATGGTGATTTTTAAGTAATAGGGATAAAAGATTGGCAATCTAGATGGAAAAAAAAATTTGTTATCCTGGAGGAATCTTCTGCAGAAGGCCTTGGTATTCGGGCTGTCATGCCAAATACCAGACTTGAGATAAAATGAAAAACTTTCTGCAAATGCAAAATCTCAATTAAAAAATTTTCTGAAAGCTATTGGTTAACTCTTGCAACCAGTTTCAATTTTCTCTTAGCGACATCATTTTGAGGAAGTTTTTGTGAAAATCGTAAATTTTTTTCAAAATGTTTTAATCGTTATAAAACTCTATATTGATTCATAACAAAGGGTTTGAGTTTGGTAAAAAAAAAACTAAAAATGCTGAAAGTTGATATCTTAAAAATGTTATGTGCAAGAAATTTTTTTAAATGTTTGAAAAAATACTAAAAATTGGAGAAAGAGAAAAGTGTATGTCTGAAGCATTTATCCACAGAATGTGATTGAGTCAAGATTTTTATTTAAATTGAGTAAATATGACTCTCGATGTTTGATTTTAAAAGAGTGTGAATACTTATTCTGTTGTATAATTTCTAAGTCACTTGAACAAGAATCATAATATTGGTTTTCAAATCACACGAATAGGGAAATCAATATTTGATACATATAAGACAATGAAAATGTGAAACATGATTTTAAATTTCTTAGATATGAATTGCAATGTATGATTTTAAATCATGTGAAAGAATCTTGATTTGTGATTTCTAATCGTGTGAATTTGATTTTGAATTGTGTAGATAGGGAGAAAGCATGAAAACTTATTTTTTGTTCTCAAGAATTTGAAAAAGACAAACTTTCTTTAGAAAAGCAGATTTTTTTATGAAGTTTAAAAAAAAACATAAAATATTAATTCCTGATGCAGGAAAGTCAAATGCAGTGATATAATCTTGGTCTGGTTAAAATGTGGCTGCTCGCAGATGAGAGAAAAATTATAATACGAATCTTTGCCAAATTGACTCTGCGCAGTAGTATATAGTAGCGGTGCCCAAACTTTTTGAGCCGCTTGCGCAACGGGTAGATTAACGAAGGGCCGCACGCATATTTAGTCATGTTAGCAGCAAATATGATAATTTTTATATACATTAGTGTTCTAAGCTCTAAATTTTTTTATCAGTCAACTTAACATATTTGCAGAAAATTATATACTTCGAATTATTTGAACTTAATTAAAAAAAAAAAAAAAACATTTTCAATTTTTCACAATGTTTAATTAACCAAATATATATACAGTACATAACCGTTATCCGGAAATCGGAAAACCAAAAAGCCAGAAAAAAATTCGATAAATTTTCCCGCCATTTTAAAAAAAAAATTTTCCTCATAAGATTTTAGGATTTTTCTTCCTTTTTTGAAAGATGTTTACCTTACCATCATTTTGGAAATAATCATTAGTGTATTCCTTCATTGTTTTTTCTTCTTTTTAAGATTATTTCCAAAAAAAAAATTTTTTTTTGTTGGGTTTAACAATGAAAAACGGCTTTTTGTGGTGATTCAGAAAACCGGAAAAATCAGTTATCCGGAATAGCGATGGTCCCAATCATTCCGGATAATCAGTTCCCTACTGTATATACATAAATAAATAAATATTGGGGATGATATAAATTCTGAAAAGATATGCAAAAGATATACATATATTATAGAGTTATATAAATTTGAATTAAATGTTTTAATTAAAGAAAATTTATGATGTTTAAATAAAAATCAAATCAAAATAAACTTTTTTAATTGCATTTAGAAGCTCTCGCGAGCCACACATCAACAGTTGACGGGCCGTATATGGTCCTCGGGCAGCAGGTTGTGCACCCCTAGTATATAGCAGGGCTGATTGTGCTCCGGAAAAAGAAAATTGATTACAGATCCGCGCTCGGCTGACCACCTAACCGGAACATTTGCTCCTGCACCCCGAAGCCCAAGGTCATGAAAACTGAGATGGGCACAGTAGGCCTTGGCCCTCTATGGGTTGTCGCACCACTGAGTTTAGTTTAGTTTAAGATTAGAAATATTGAGAAAAAGTAAAAAAAATCTTGTTTAAATTTTTTTTAAATTTAAACTGTTTTTTTTTTTTTTTTAANTAACTCAAGAAATTTTCCGGAATTTTGACTTGGACTCACAATCACCCCTAATATAGGAATTAGGACAGTTTTTTTTTTCTTTATTAGAAAAAATTTTCGGTTTTGGTGATACATTTTCCATAGATTGCATTCGTGTATTTTATATATATCTGCCAAATATGATGATGAGGTTTTGATATTTGAAGCTACGTAGAAATTTAGAAGTATCAGATTTTACTGTTAAAATACTTGGTGTACATACTCAGAACGGAATTTTTTCCCTCATTAATTTTGTTTATCATGCAACTTAATTTCTTTAGATTTGCAAGATGGCTGCTCAGTTATTCAATAATATTGGAAGGTTGGGATTGGGACTAGCTATTGCTGGAGGTGTTGTAAATTCAGCACTCTATACTGGTAAATATGAATACAATACATGAATTTTAAATTTTACCATTATTTAATACATTTTAGTCCTTATATAGAAATTTCATAAAAATGTGATGTTTATATTTAAATACCCTTAAATTACATTCATTGAGACAAAAAAAAAATATTTGCATTAAATATAATACTTTATTTAGCAAATAAAATTTTGTGTCTGTATGTGTCATTGACTGAATCAAAATACAAATCAATTAATTTTACACATTATGACATTTGTTTTATTTTTTACTTTATTTACAGAACTTTCATGTCCCGCAGTGGACTGATCGTTAAGACACGGTTCCCAGCTGTTCACCGAAGTCGAGCATCACTGGCTGCGGTCAGTGTGCGGGTGGGTGGCCACTTGGATTAGTCTGCGTAGGGACTGAGGGTGTGCGGTATTGGTCCTCGTTAAACTGTTCTATTGTAAAGTTCTCGACTTCGCTTGCAGGCCGTCGGGCTACCGAAGCGAGGGTGCCATCCCTTCTGCAGAGGATCAAAATTGTGATGGCATGTCTTTGGATCATCCTCAGGGATGTTTCCCAGACTGTTGCCAACAGCCTATTGTACAGCTCTAGTGCGACGTAATTGAACAACAACAGAACTTTCAACCTTAAACAATCATAAAAACATGATCAATTTCAAGTGGAATAATTTTACATTTCTAAAAATTCAAAATTGTCAATAATCTTTTTAACTTAAATACAATAAATTTAAAAATTAGCATACTTTGAAAATTTCTCTAGAAGCTCTTTGCTCCTATAGCAATATTAATATCTTAGAAATGTCTTCTTAAGACATGAAACTAGTAGAAAAATATACATCACAATTTTAATAAAAAAAAAAAAATTTCATGAAATTGTGCATTTATGCACTTTTGGTCAAAAATGGGTTAAAATTGCTTATATTTTTTTTTATAATCTTTTTTACTTTTGTCATTAAGATGGTTTATCTGTATATTAATAAGGTGTATTATAGTAGTTAATATAGTATGCATATAGTATATATAGTAATTTATATTATAGTATATATAGTAATTTAAGAGTTATCATTGATATTAAAATATTGTTGTTTTAAAAGGACAATATATTAGTAATAGATCATTTGCTTTATATAGGTCAGGGGTGGCGAACCTTTATTACACCAACGTGCCATTTTTTCTAAAAAATTGTTTAAGGAAGTCACAAACGTGCCGTCAAATAATTTTGACTTAATGATTATTGGGAAAATAGTAACACTAAATACTATCAACTCAAAACTCTTTATTTACATTGAAAAAAAAACACATTTTGCAATGTCTCAGTTATAGGCGTAATTCAACTTAAAGCAACATCAGTGGGACTTCTGTTGTTGCAGATTAGATGACAAATAACTTATATTACAGGGTAACAAAAAAATATAGGGATCATTTTTGAATGTTTATATTTCCAAAATTTATTACATGAATTCAGCGATGCTTCTCAATATGTCGACCTCCGGCGTAATAGATTTGTCTACAACGCTTCGGCCAGGATTTTAAAGCCCGCAAAATGATTTACTGGGGGATTTTCTTCACCTCTTCTCTAATAGCTCTTTGAAGGCCTCTCAATGTAGAAATTCTTCGCTTATTCAGTTTGTTTTTCAGATGTCCCCACAGGACATAGTCGCATGGTGCAGCATCAGGACTATTTGGAATCCATTGTTCTGGTCTCAGGAATTGCACTTGCTGATCTGTTAGGAATTTCTGGGTGACCTTAGATGCATGCGATGGTGCAGCATCAGGACTGTTTGGAATCCATTGTTCTGGTCTCAGGAATTGCACTTGCTGATCTGTTAGGAATTTCTGGGTGACCTTAGATGCATGCGATGGGGCAGAGTCCCGATGGAGCACAGCATCACCATTAGGGTACAATCTGCAGTAATCATCCTTAAGAAATGGCTTTAATATCTTCTGCATACAATACTCAGAATTTATTTTGGCCCCAGGTTTCACAAACCGAGGTTCGGTCACGCCATGGGCGGATATGCCCATCCAAACCATTACGCCTTTGGGATGAGGCACCGTGGTTGATGGTGTCAAGTCTCGCCTGTTCTGCCCGCGACTAAAATATTGAACTTCATTTTAGCATTGGTATCAGATAGATAGATCCAAGCGCCATCAGTTATAATGAACTTTCGCCATCTTTCCTTACGGAGGAGCTTGTAGAAGGGCCATGAACGTCGTCTCCTAATCTGCACCGATCTCTCACTTAAATGATGACATTTAGGTTTTTTATGGCATTTTTTCTTCAACTTTTGTTTTAGTTGAAAGCTTACAACTTGCTGACTCACGTTAAGAGCTTTAGCCATGCTTGCCTGTGTTGGTGGATCCGGTTTTGATGTCATCTTATCAAGCTTCTGCAAATCTGATTTCTTCAATTTGCTTTTCCGTCCACTTCTTTTTGGTTTTGCAGTATTTTGCATGGATCCGAGTTTTGAATTCTTGATGCGACTGATATGGCTGAGTGAAATCGCAATATCTTTCTTTTTAAAATGGGTTTGTATAATCCTGTAGCTCCAGCGAAGTTCTAAAAATGCTTGTACTTGACCAATTAGCTTTTTGTCAAATTTCTTCAAAGGCATTTTTGTGATTTTATGAAATAGTATTGGAATTGAAAGTCTAATAGCAGAGCTGTAGATCAGTAAGCTATATATGTAAAAAGGTTTTAAAACTTTAGTGGTAGATAGCCACAAAAGTGATCCTTATACTTTTTTGTTACCCTGTAGGTTGTAAGATATTAGTTTAAGCAGGACTGTTGATTTCTTTTTTTGCTAGTTATTTATAGTCAGCTTGTTTTTTATGGTTATTAATTGTTTTTTTTAGCATTAATTGTTAATTTTTTTATTAATAATTGTTTATTAATTTGTTTGTGTTTTGTGAATTTTAATTTAATTGTTACATGTGCTTCATAGCGTAATAACATTTGTGTAATAACATTTCATAGTGCAATAACAATTGTGATCGGCGGCGTGCCCAAAATATTGTGTCGCGTGCCATTGGTTCGCCATCCCTGATATAGGTACATATAGAGTTGAATATCAAAATGTCATAATTTAATTTTTATGTTCTTAATTTTCAAACTAGAAATTCTCACTAGCAATTTTTTATTTACAGCTGAAAAACGTAAATTTTCTATGAATTTTGCACCATCCAAGTGAATTTTTAGCTGGAAATGTTTGCTCTTGCTATATTACCTAAATTCCTGAATACTCACTAAATTCAGTTATGTGAAATATATTTCAGTTAAAAGACACCAATTTGGTATTAAAAAGCTGTATGTCCCAAAGGAAATATTGAATTGTAAATATTATAGTTCTGTAAAAGCATTATATATGTTTCAACTCTAAATTTTTGATGTCCGTTGATTTGATTTTTTTATTATATTGACAAGTTATATTTATTTCAACAGTGGATGGTGGTCATCGTGCAGTTATATTTGATAGATTTGCTGGAGTCAAACCTAATGTTATTGGAGAAGGTACCCATTTTCTCATTCCATGGGTTCAGAGACCTATTATTTTTGATATTCGATCCAGACCTCGGAATATTCCTGTTATTACTGGTAGCAAAGGTGTGTGCTTTTTTTAGAAAAAATCTGAATGAATATTATTCTTTACTTGATTATAGTTATTATTTTTATATTTGGTGAAATTGTTTTTTTTTTTTTTATGTTGCAGACTTTTATGCATATTTCATTTGATGACATTTTGTTTTTATATTTTCTATTTGTTTCTAAGGTGTAATATTAAAGACATTTATAAAAGAATGAACTTATTTTGCAGAATTTTATTTCTGCTAAATATAATTTTCAATTACATCAAGAGAAAAAGAGACCAAATTGAGTTGTCTAATATACTTTTGACATAGTGTGTAAAATTATACTAAAAAAATAGTGAATACAATAAAATGTAGTGATTGATTTCAAAAGATTTTTAAAATCNGAAAACACTGCATCAAGAGAAAAAAGAGACCAAATTGAGTTGTCTAATATACTTTTGACATAGTGTGTAAAATTATACTAAAAAAATAGTGAATACAATAAAATGTAGTGATTGATTTCAAAAGATTTTTAAAATCGATGTGCTGAAACTTCCCTAAAAGACATAACTGCCAGAGTACTATTAGTAAGAATATTATTAGTACATTTAATAAAAACATTTAAAACTCACTGATATATTTTTAAACCGAGCTTTTAAATTCCAGTTACCACGGTTGCTTAAAAACTCATTGTTAGTGCCCAATATTTAGTTAAATTTGAGATAAAAATAAAAACTCCCAGTTCGTAAAAAGTTTACATATTTGTAGATCCTTTTCTATGTACTGTACAAAGGAAATTGTTTTAAAACTGTAACACAACTGCAAAAATTAAAACATGCACTTCTGAAAGTGCAGTGTAAGTAGCAGCATGAAAATATTAACACTATTATTAATAAAAATAAGCTAATTGAAAAGCTATTATACAACATTTAAAAAAAAGCTATTATACAGTAGATAACCTATTATCCAGAATTCTGGGGACCATTGCTATCCTGGATGTCTAAATTTCCTGGATTGCTTAAAAATGATTCGTTACAGCTTATTTATATTACTACTTTAATATTTAATTGAAAAATATCTGTATTTCATCTGTTTTAGAATTCTAATAAGAAATTTGTATTTTAACTTCACTCTCTTTATTTTATTTTTATAACTAAGCATAGCAGTGATTTTTTCTTATAATTTCCCTACTGTCTTTGATATCTCATGTTGACCCTCATAAATCAAAACGAAAAATCTCGAAGGAGCTTTAAGGAAATCTTCTGAAGATCTTATTAAAAAAGAAATATAAGTTTTCTCTCAACACATGGGGTGAAAAAAATTCATTCTACTCAACTTCAAGCATGATTGGAATTTCTACATATTGCCTCAATCATTCTAGTTCAAAATGCTGGGCAAAATTTTTTGTATGTTTTTGGATACCATTTAAAAGATTCTGTATTGTATTAAGATGTCTTTGGTATCATGCTAAAATTAAGAATATGCCACTTAGGCGATTCACAGGATAAAAAATTTCTTTGTTGAAACTTATTCGCAATATTTGTACCAGGCTTTTCATGTTTTTATGGTTCATTTAAACTTTAAGTTATCGTTGACTCTTGCAAAAATCTGCACTTTCTTGTGCATGAAAATTATTTTTTGAACGAAATAGAATATTAATCGCACATATTAGTAAATGGGAATTTTTTAAAAAGATTGTTAGAAACTTTGTAAGGGTCATGTCAGAGATTTAGATTTTTGGAAATCCCAAGTGAGAATGGTGGACGATATTGAATGGCATATAACTGTTATTGACAAACTAGGCTGGGAATAAATTAGATTCTTTTGCGACAGATTTGCCTTGGTTCGTTTTATTAGTATTGGTTATTGGATGCTAATTGCACTTGGTTAAAATGTATGCATATTTTTAAATGTTGTGTAAATGATAGATTGGTAAACCGGTTTTCAGATTTATGATTTCCTAAATTAGTAAACTTTGTGTTTTAAAATAACCATTTAAAACATCTGTGAAAACATTTAATCAGTTTATTGATTGTGCTTTAAAAAGAACTGTACTTCAAGGAAAATTAATTTTCTTTTTGTGTGTAACTGGACTCTTAATTTGAAATCTTATGAATTAGATAAAAAAAATGATTAAAGGACATAAATTATGTACAGCTATTTTTCAATTAATAAAAAATAATTTTTCTTTTTACCTATTTATTTTTCACTATTATCTGATATTTCTGCGAATGGTAACAAAAAAAATAAAAACAAAATACTGACGAAAAACATTTTCTCGTACACTTCTTAAAATGTGCACAACCATTAAAAATAAACTATAAATCTTCAAATTAAAGGTAATTGAGGTCAAATGTCGGCCATTTGGAATTTTCAAAATTTCTAAATAATATTTTAAAAGGTCAATCTGAGGTTTCTATTTGTTAAGTTTTGCCATGTACATCTTTCACATTTATATTAATTGGTTTATCTCGTAATGTCTTATGCAAAAGAAACTTTAATGTTGTTAACATTTCCTCATACCATGATTGTTTGGTAATTTTTAATTGCTATATTTTTAGCCTATTGATCTGTTATCTGAATTTCCTTATTGGTGACATTAAGTTAGTATTATATCTTATATTTTCTATATGCTGCCAGCAAAACAGTTTTAAACGTGATTTTCTTATTGCTATCTCATGCTTGTGCGTAACCAAAAAATTAACATAATAAACTATGCTCTAACAAAAATCTCAAAACGCAAGATTTTTTTCTAATCTTTCATAACTTAGATATATTTATTATTTTTATAGTAAAAAGTCACATGAATTGCATAATTTGTTGGGTCAATAGATAAAGTAAGATTAAAACTCTTTATTTATTTATTGATCTATTGTAATTAAATGTTTTTTTTTCTTTCCATTTTTAAAAATTTTATTTATAAGAAAAAAAAATTAAGACTTAAACTATCCAGGTTATTTCATAGTAAAGGAATGTTGTACTTTTCCCATCACTTAGCCTAGTAACTCTCTGATCAACATAAGTTATCCTTACAGATCTGCAGAATGTAAATATTACCTTGAGAATTCTGTTTCGTCCAGTTGCTACCGAGTTACCTAAAATTTATATGACCCTTGGTAATGATTATGATGAAAGAGTTTTACCGTCTATCACTAATGAAGTTTTGAAAGCTGTAGTTGTAAGTAATTTAATAATATTTATATCTGTTTTGATGTTTATGTCATTTATAGGGTTTGTTGTATGTTCAATAAAATGGAATGTTTTGTAAAATGTACACCAGTAATACTGTGGGCGTCAATTTGGATGAATGACTGATATCGAGTCAAAATTTCGGCCAATATGTTTTTTTTTTTTTTTTTTNTTTTTTTTTTTTTTTTAATATTTTAATCAGAATAAAGATTCAAAATTATATAATAAAAAATCTTAACTGACTTTTAACTTTTTTTTACATTAACTTTTGCTCTTATTTTCATATTTAATCAAAATTAACCTTTGTTCAGTTACTAGCAATATATAACAGTAAGAGAATCCATTCTACAGAAGTTTTTTTTTGAAAACAAATGCAATGGCGCTGTTAAGATTTTTGCATCGCAATGTATTGTCACTCTAGCCTCGCGCTGTTTCGTTATGTTAATGTTTTGCATTTGATATTGGGTGACTTTGAATTCTTGCACTTTCTGAAAGCTTGATTGATTCAGGCAATTATATGCTTGTGAACAAAAAAAAAACAATAATCCAAGCGATAGGCGATAATTGCACAACATCAATATTTTCCAATGCATCCATGTATCACCCAGTTCTAATGGTTGCTAAACAATAGATGTTTTTCCCTTTTTGAGTTATTCAATGTTTCTCTTGTGCAATGCTTTTTTCTTAAAATTAAGTTTGATTCATCTTGGAAACACTTTTTTTTACCGATTTGGATAAGAATAGCTCCTGTGTACAAATTAGTATATGTTTCATCATAGTCAAATTCTATGCAGATTCTAGTAGATGAAAACTTTAAATAAATGATGTCTTCTAATGAAAATCAAGTGGTTCGGAAATTAGTCATGTCTTTTCTTTTCTTTTTTTTTAAATCTAAAATATCTTTATTGAGTAACCTGTCTTTTACTAAACTGCCTTTAATATTGAGGAAGGCAATATTTTAAGCAAACAATCCTTAAGAAGAAAAAAAAAGAGATTTTGTAGGTAGTTCATGTAAGTTATGCAAAATTGGAAACCAATTTTAAAAAATTCCTGTATTTCAACACCTTTACTTCAACAGCATATTTAAATTCTAATCTTTATAAATTTTCTTTGATATAATAGTATTTTTTTATTTTTTTTTTTAAGGCTCAGTTTGATGCTAGTGAAATGATAACTCAGAGAGAGTTGGTATCACAAAAAGTGTCTGAAGAGCTGACAGATAGAGGCTCTCAATTCGGTCTCATACTTGACGACATTTCAATTGTAAGTTTTTCATAATTAGGTCACTTATTTCCTGATTAAATGCCATTGAAATATGCTTTAATTTGCTATATTATTATTTTTTAGACTCATTTGACATTTAGTAAAGAATTCACCATGGCTGTTGAGATGAAGCAAGTTGCACAGCAAGAAGCAGAACGTGCAAGATTCTTAGTAGAAAAAGTATGTATTGTATCTGTGATAGAATTTAGTTCTTATGCACAGATAATGATTAAATTTGCTTCTAAAATGCAGGTGACTAAGCTGTGTTGCAATGTGCTGTTTTTTAGCTTTTAAGGGAGGGCACCTCAATTTCCTCAGTGAATTTTTGGAATCCTAAACATCTATATTTATTTTTACATTATTCTAAGAGTTATGAATTAAATTTAAAATACTTGATTAAAACAAATTATGCAGGGATTGCCTGTGTAATGTATAATGTAATCTCTTAGGATATCTAAAAACTGCTGACTTGATAGCATCATGCGTTTTTTTCTGATTTATTACGAAATTTAAAAGCTTAAATTGCAGTGATGTATCATATGTTCATTATTTGCAAAATTACATAAAAATGCCATAAAAGTCATTGTTTAATATTTGATAAAATCAAAAACTGAAGGTGCAATTACAAAATTCCTATATACAACAAAAAGTGTTTGATTAGATGAGAATTTCTATGTTAGTTGATTAGTTATGAAGTTTTAAGTGATCTATTAAAAAGTTGATGTAGTTGATGTATTTTATGCATCTATAAAGCGAAAAATTATATATTTCTTAAATGTTTAAATAGCTATTATAATAAAAGAGGGGGATAATTTTTTGTGTTGCACAGTGCACTCCTAATTTGAAATTATTAAGTTCATAAACAGAAGTCTTAAATAATAATCTTAATAAATAAGAGTTTAATATAACATTTCAGTTATATTAAACTCTTATTTTTAATATTTTTTGTTCTTTATTTAAAATTTGTTTTTACTTATATCACTTGATTAAAGATATAGAAAAATTATAGCAGTGTGTGCATGATTTTACAAAATATTGTAATTTTTGAGGAAATAACTTTATTTTCTTCAAAAGCGAGAAAAAATATACAAATTCCTTAATATCTTAAAATAAGCTGAAAAAGTTTGTTACCATGCTATTTCAGTATTTTTTTTGTTTTAATTTGATTTATTAACTAAGCACTAGTCACCTTTCAAACCTTTGTTAACAAAAATATATTCTGTTTAGCTAACCCGCCTGAGGCAAAGTTTTGATTGAAAAAAAATAAGAATCATTTAAATCTAATTAAATTTTAGTACACTAACAAAGGAAATAAATTATTTTATTTAAATCTTCATATATTTTACATTCAAAAAGTTCATTTAGTTAAATAATAATGTTCTGTTATTTTTACCTTTTTAATTAACAAACGTGCTACATCTCTACTATAATGTGTTTGCTCATAATATTATAAGTTTGTGAATTAAAAATGTTTTTATTTGCTGCCCATTGGATTGTTTAGTGATATAAAAAAATTTCTTTTTAAAAAATTTTTTTTTATTTAATTAATGTCTAAAAACCTTTTCTTTTTTTTTAAATAAATAAATGTGTAAAATTTTTAATAAATTTTACCTAACTATTTAATTTTTCATTTTTAATTAGTTCAACATTAAGGTGTCTCATAAGTAAAAATGTAAAAAACACATAAATTTTTGTTTTTAATACTTGCTATTTATTATTATAGGCTGAACAACATAAAAAAGCAACTGTTATCACAGCTGAAGGTGACACACAGGCTGCTTCCCTTTTAGCAAAAGCTTTTGGAGAATCTGGAGAAGCTTTAGTCGAGTTGAGACGTCTAGAAGCTGCTGAAGATATTGCCTATCAAATGTCAAAAGCGCGGAATGTGGTTTATTTGCCCAGTGGACAAGGAACTTTGTTGCAATTACCACAATAGAAATCATGTAATTAGGTGATTGTGTAAATCAAATATTGATTTTTGTAACGGATCTTGAAAGACTATATGTTCGAAAGAAAGAAAAACTTATTAGAATCAGTCATCTATGGATCAATCATAACAAAAGTTAATAAATTTCATTTTTTGTAAATTATTTTTTGTGTAAATTTCTGAAAGTAATAAACCTAGTCTTAAATTATTTAGTTATAAAAGTGCTTGCCAAAAGTTTGCTTAAAATTTATTCAAATCAGTTCTTGACTTATTAATTCTAAAACTTATTCAAATATGGTTTGTCATAATGGAAGTTTTGTTCTTTAACTTGTTTTCTGCAATGAGTTATGGTAAAAAGTAAACTTTTCAATTATGAGATGTTGCAGTAAGTAGATTGATTACCAATAAATGTTTTGATGAAAACTTGGAGAGAGAAAAAATTATTACAACCAATTGCATGCAGTTTAATCAAAATTATAAGTTAAAAAAATGTTTCAATAAAAAGGTCTATAAGTAATTTTTTTTAAGGGGAGTAAAGATTTTTTTTTTGAATATTGTAAAAGATTTAAAAATGCATAAAGTAAGAGTATAAAAAAAAAGATCCTATCCATAAAGAATTCAATAATGGTTTCATAGAAACTAAATTAAAATTGTTTTTCTTATTTCTAAGGTATTCAACTTGACTGGAAACTTATGATTTCATGGAAAATTAAAATTAGATTAATATGTGCTGCAGATTTATATAACTCTGCTTTGGTCACTGTAGGTGGTGGATCAAATTTCAAAAATCCTTTTTAGTGCATTTTTCATATTAAAAGTTTGCAGAATATACAAGGATTTTTATTGTTTTTTCCCCCAAATTGTACTTGTTACATTATCCTTTAAGATCAGAGTTTATCACGGGATTCATCTTCTATTTCTGAAAAATGTTACTATTAAAAGAATATTTTTTCTTTTTAAAGTCACAATTAAATTTTTCATATTAATTGGTATGCATGTAAAATTAGCAATAATAGTATTAAATTTAAGTTCAATTATTTTCAAATGTAGAGCACTGGATTTTTCAAACATCATTCTTTTTATTTATTTAGACATAATTAACCTATTCTATAACTTTTTTTATTAAACATATTCTATACTTTTTGCTTAGTTCTTAACTTAAAAAGCTATTTTCAATCAATATATATTTATAGATTTGGAGTATTACCTCAGAACAATGCTGAATGAAGTGCGTGAAAAAAATCAACTATTTCATCAATATGAGAAAATTTGTTCTTGAACTCTTCCTGGATGATTTCTTGTACTGTCACTTCAGTATTACTTTTTGATAATTTCGAATTACTTCATCATTGAGTTCTACATTTTGATAATATGCATTAAAATTTTGCAGAGAATACTTAATTACGCAATTAGAATATTTACATTTGATAGGATGGGTTCTCGTGCCTTGCTCAGGCAATGACACCTTGAGTCTTTGCTGTCCTTCAGCCTGATCAATGTTGCAGGTCATTATTCAATGCAAAATATAAGATATTAAACATCTGATTGTACATAAAAAGGGATACTTTTCTTGTATTTTGGATTTATTTGAGTTGTCTTAAAGCTCTACGTTCCTATAACTGTGCGTTTGATTCTTTGAATAAGGAATAAAAATTTAAAGCCGTTTGAATCTTCTGTATTTTAAGTAATTTCATCTGCTTTTTTATAATGAATCTTCTGCATTTAAAGGAAATATGGGTTGGCAGGTATGTAATATTGTGCATGTTCAATAATATGAGTAACTGTACTAATTTTTCTAGAACTTTATTATACAAAACTAAGATTCAATTTGAATCCAAAAGTTTAACTAACATCGAATTTAAATTGTAGCAAATATGCATGATAATATGTAGTACATAATAATGATATAATTCAAGATTGATTGCTGTAAACTTTTTATATAATGGGCTTATGTATTGTTTATATTTCAACAAGGCAAATATGTATGAAGAAAAGAAATTACTACCTAGCTATGAATTTATGAAAGCAAACACTACAGCTGTCTAGGTTGCTAACTTAAAATTGCTGGTCTTGCAATGTTCCTGAAATATTGCACCAACACAAAGCATTTATTCTAATTTTTTTTTCTTCTTCAGGATATAAACAAGTTGTTTATATTTTTTGTGGCATCTTTCTAGCTTTATAATGATTTTTTGATTTGTGAAAATGTTTTTATAATTTTTTTTAAGTGTATGGGGATGTCCCACTTTCAAAATGTGGACTTCGTGTGGCTCCATGTTATGCAATCCTAAATTAATTGGAAGTAGAAATGTCTGTCTGATTACTTATTATATATATATATATATAGGTAGATAAAATAGCACTGTGGTGGTAAGCTTTTTATATTAGAATGGACAACAGATTTTTAGAATGGTGATAAAGTTTCAGTTCAAGCTATTAGTTGCAGAGCTGGATTGAAATTATTTGAACCTCTTGATACTAGAATCTCTTGCCAAAGTCCTCCTGATTTAAATCATAGAAGCTTTTAATCAAAATCACAGGTTTGATTGAGATTTATTGTAACTTTCCAACTATAATTACAGGGTGCGTAGCGTTTGTAAAAAGTACTTGAAGTTGCTTTTTTGGGGATTTCGTTTTTAAAAGCTTTTAAAGGTGCATTTTTCAACTGGCGTTTTTAAAAAGTGCTTTTTTTTCCGAAATTATTATTTTTTTTTTCCTGAATAATTTTTTTCCCCCTTCAGTGATATCTGGTGGATCCCATGCATTTCACGAAAAATGGGGAGTTTGCTACGTAATCATTCACGCGGACTTCATGTCGTACCCACGTTGTGACTTGCGCATGCACGCACACTTAAAACCAAAACCCGAGTGCTCCAATTCGGATGGAAAATATGAGATCCTTATGAAATGTTTTTCTTTTTAATTTATTTTAATTTTATTATTGTTTATTTTATTTTACTTCTAACACTTTTTTGACGTAGGGGGTACGGGTACTTTTGTTCTGAGTTCAGGGTCAAGTTGAATTCACTCGATGATGTGGGAAAGTACTGATTGTTTCGATTTACGTCTGTTTCTTTTTGGGTTTTTTTTAACGCTAAAACTGTTTATACAAAGTTTTTGTTTTTCAACGGTATCACTGATTGAATATGAATTTTTTGAGTGCTTGAAAATTTTTGTAAAGTGCTTGAAAAGTTTTTAAAAAGTGCTTATTTTTGATTCAAAGATTTGGCTATGCACCCTGAATTAGTTATTTATTTAAATACAAGTGTGTTTAATCTACATTAATTGATCTCTTCATTATATATCTAACTCACTTACTTATAGCATCTCTGACTTTTTATAATTCTTAAGGAAGTTAAACTTGAATAAATTTCATGTAGTGATTTGTTTGTAATAACATTAACCATTTTAATTGTAAATAATAATTATTTAAGTTCTAGTGTTATTAAATAAAATAGAATTAATAAAATTTATTCTTCAACCGGCACAATAGTCGATTTTCAGCCATGGCTGTCTCAAGCAGCTTTATCCATTTTGATATATCGGACAGCGTCACTATTCTCTATCTATTGACTCCCACACGGCTTAGACACTTTTCTACATTATCTGACCTTGTATGTGGTCTAACTCTCTTTCCTTGTTTGTTAAAAGTTTTTTTTCATTACCGAGTTTGGTTGTCATATCTATAGATATGAGCAAGCCATCTCATCTGTCGAATTTTAATAAACTTCACTATTTTGGTTCTCTGAATTTGTTGTATAATTCAAAGTCTTATCTTATTCTCCTTTGCTGCACCAAATATTCTCGAGATATTTCATTCAAATATAAGTAATCTATTTTCTTCTTATCTCTTCATTGCCCAGCACTCAAAATACATATACAATAAATAAAATAATCCAATTTAAATCAAATCCAGGCATGAACGTTTTCAGCTTTTACTCTGAATTCAGCTTTTTAAGCTCCATACATTTATTAATTTCATAATGTTTGATTGCGTTTGTGTAGAATTCAGCTTTTTTTGCTATCTGGTACTTTCATCCCTGCAAATCTGATTTTTTTAAATTTATTTTTATTTAAAGAATTTTATCTACCCTGTTTCGGACTAAGGTTTAACCTTAGCTCTAGAGATGTGGCGTAAAAAAATGGAAAAATAAGATCAGAGATTATTGTGCTCTGGAAGAAATCCAGATTGCCAGATTTTTCGCTAACTGCGATCCGGAAATCCACAGTCCACAAAAGTTTACAGAAGTCATCGATCACATTTATGTATAAAAATTCTTGTATATTTTATTTAAAAATATTAGAACTAGAATTTATACTTGGCATCTCTTTCATTTGTAAATATTGTTTTTGGTAGAATAATAAATGTGATTAGAGATAAAAGTAAACTAAATACATAAGTATTAATTTAAATTATGCTGCATATAATTTATATAGAATTTCACGTTGTGAAGATATCAATGATTTAAATTTATAAAGACATTAATTTTTTGAAATGCGTCATTAATGATTTTACTCAGGAAATTTTCAGGATTTTTTAATTGGGCTCACAATCACCGACTATTAAATAAAGAAAATAGTAAATACTCACTAAAAGTTATGTTTTGCATGGAATTATCTTTGGCTAAACGAATTTTATAATTGGATGCAAATTTTTTTAATTCGCTTAAAAATCTTGAGATTGGTAAAATGCAAAAAAAATAAAATTAATTAAGGGGTCTTACATTACATTCAACTTTGGACCTCTCTTGACCAAACTATTGGAACCACACTTCCCAAATTCCGACTACCCCCATATTGTTGATGACAGAGTACTTTTTTATGTCTGCTTTCGTAACATAAAATATGGGTCGCACCAATTAATTAGCATATTTGCGGTCACCCGCTTGAACCATTAAGATTGAGTCCCAGAACGTGAGGATCCAATTATTAAATCAAAAGTTATTCAGAGTGGTCCGTTTATTTTTTGCGCACTGTTCAATAAATTTATTATCACATCAGTTCAGTGTTTCCCAACTTGTTCTTGTATTTTTACTGCTACAATTTTAAATTTTTGACGCCTCCCTATTTTATTTGCATGGGCTAAACAATTAGAATTGGTACAGTAACAATGTTAGCTTTTTTTTATTTTTGCCCATTTTGTCCCTGCTTTTTTTCTGCTCT